CAACATAGCCTTGGGGCAGTTCCTCCGGCGGAGAAAACTCTAAAGGCGAACCTGTGGTAGTCCTCGGCCCGTCTGCTGCTGCTGGCTGCCGTCTTGTTGGGGTTGCTGCTGGTGTGAGTGCTTGTGGTGTGGCTCGTGAATGTCGGGGCCCCTGAGTAGGCGTCGCGTTAAACCCAACCGAACCAAGCACCGACTGACTCTGTGTCGCCAAGAAATCGTTCAACCTTGAAATCCAGCGCACAACAGTCAACGAAGAGGAGCCCTGCTGCACCTCCATATCAGCCCTCACAGCATGCACACTCCCATCTTGCAAAGCCATAGCAGCCGCCACTGAAGCCTGACTTCCCATCGCTTGCTGTCCAGGAACGAAGGCCTGAACTCTCCCAGGCGCGGGAACCTCAGTCAGCGCACGAGCCTCGGATCTCGACCCACCCGGCTGGGTGGCCAAGACGCCCTCATTCACAGAAGGGTTTATGCTATCCGCGCTACCTCGGGATCCGCTCGTCAAGGTCTGAAGTTCCCTTGACGCCACACCGTTCGGTAGCCCTCTCATGGTGCCGTTAGTCGCCTCAGCAGGACGCAGAGCCTCTCCTTGCTCAGTAGCAGCGTTTGGGCTCATCACCTGAAGAGCTGCACTGTCCTGCCCTTCAGCTGAACCCGACATACGGCGCCTCCTCAACAGTATCGTTCCAACTTTATCGGAAGATTCCTGAAGGGAATCCCACAACCATGAGCGCGGACACTACCCTCTGTTTTTCCGTCAACACAACAAGTGCATGCAGTCCTAGACACATCTGTGCACAGTCTAGGCTAAGCTTTAAGCAACTGCGATGCTGGCTTCTGCCGATCATGGCCTAAGCCCTACGTGCTGGCTTCTGCCGCTCATGGACCTAAGCCGTGCGTGCTGGCTTCTGCCGATCATGGCTCTCTGAGCCACTCCGCTTCAAGGCAAGGTCCTGAACAATCAAGCTCCACCTGATTGACTTTACAGGGAAGGGGCTTCAGGCATCAGCAGTAATAGTAGTAGTAGTAGTAGTAGTAGTAGTAGTAGTAGGAGTAGGAGTAGTAGTAGTAGTAGTAGTAGTAGCAGTAGTAGTAGTAGTAGTAGTAGTAGTAGTAGCAGTAGTCGTAGTAGTAGTAGTAGTAGTAGTAGTAGCAGTAGTAGTAGTAGTAGTAGTGGTCGTAGTAGTAGTAGTAGTAGTAGTAGTACGGGGCGAACGCCGCCGGCGCCTGTGTGAATTTCCTACATTTTCACCTTTTGGTGCCTTTTGGCCTTTAGTGGCTATTTTCGCCTTTCGTGTTTTTTTATGCTTTCTGACGACAGGAATAGCCCCAGTGGAAGACCATGTGGAAGAGCATACTATGTCTTGGCAAGGGTTCTTGCTACACAGGCTTTGCTGTTAGACAGGGTTGGCTGTAAGAGAGGGTTGGCTGTTAGACAGGCTCTACTGAGAGACAGCCTTAGCTGGTACACAAAGGTTCCAGGAGGGCCTTGGGTGATAGGGAGTTTTGATATAAAATGGCTTGGCTTGGCTTGGTTTGGGGAGGGGTGGGGGCTTGGGGCTGGTGAGGGGGGGTCTCGGGATGGGGTGGGGGTAGGGCTTAGGGTGCAGGTTCTCGCTACACATTAATACAGGTGGCGGTTCCAAAAGTCGACACCACCATCAGCACACAGCTCAACCATCTTTTGCCGGCGCTACCCCACACTCGTCTGTAAGCGATGCATCTTTGCAGTTGCTTCGCATCCTGGGCATTGAGCCTGCTGGCTAAAGATTCACACTCACGAAAGTAGTTGGGATGACGGCTTCCGCATGGGTCTGACAACACATGCTGTAAATACCACATGTTTGGCTTGCAAATGTTCCGGCGCACATAGGCGCTGGGAGCCTTTGCTGCGTAGTAGTGGTGGTAGTAGTAGTAGTAGTAGTTGTAGCAGCAGCAGCCGCGTGAGTAGTAGTAAGAGTAGTAGTAGTAGTAGTAGTAGTAGTAGTAGTAGTAGTAGTAGTAGTAGTAGTAGTAGTAGTAGTAGTAGTAGTAGTAGTAGTAAAGTAGTAGTAGTAGCACCAGCATGTGTATATATGTATATATATATATATGAATATGTATATATATATATATGTATATGTATATGTGTATATATATATATAACATGTTGCACACACGATATACACACTAAAGTTCACATGAGGTTCTCATACATACATATATATATATATATATATATGTATATATGGTACATTATTGGCTCACTTTTTCGTTGGTGAGGCTTGGCTAGGCTCAAAAAGCAAAGCCAAGCAAAACCAGCCAAGACGCACCAAATCCGAACCGCACCGAAGACAAAAACATTCCTTCCGGGTGTTGGTTTTTTTCCTCGGTCCGGGTTGGTTCGCCAAGCCAGGCCGAACCGAGCCAAACCGAGCCAAGCCAAACCAAAGCCGAGCCGCTCCGAAGAAAAGACACCCTCCGCCAGTGTTTCCCTGCGAAAAGCCATGAAAGCTGACAAAAACCCACGAGAAAAAAGGCAAAACCACATCCATTCCAGGTCCGATGTCTTGCCAGCCTTTCTTTGCACAAGCACTGGCAGTGTTCGTGAAGATGACAACGACATGTAGCGTCACTCCACCTGCTTCGCGCAGCCAAAAAGAGCTGGAGTTTGGTGGTGCTGCTGCTGTGCTGTTGCCCGCAGGGTTTGACATCGCACGAGCAGCACGAGAGGTGCCTTGGCAAGTTCACGTCTGACAATGTAGTTGCGGAAGCAGCAACCGAGGGATGGCTGCTGAACCTCCTCAAACAGTTCGTGCTCTGCCTTGAGCTTAGTTGCTCCTGTGTGAGACCGGGCCTTTGACGATCCAGCTTGAGGTCATGACACCGTGGAAGCGCATGGGGTTTCTGGTCGCGAGGGTGAGACAGAGTTTGGCGGCCTCCCTTTGCACTTAGCATGCCCTGCAGGACATAGGCTCTTCGGTGCAGGCTCATGATACAAGCATTATGCCAGCCGCAGCTCCAGACTCCTTCGCATCATGTTTGTCAGGTCAATTCCTGACCCTATCCTTCCACAGCACGCAGTCTGCCTCCGAAGCACATGCTGGCCGCAAGAGCCTGTGCGACATTCTGCGGATTTGTTACTGGGTGGCAGCTTTCTCCAAAAGCGAGTTGTTCTGCTGGACATGTACCGTCATCGCGTTGCGCTTGTCTCATGATCGCCAAAGCCGGCTTGTGCTGATACAGGCATGTAAAAGTGGAGACGGGGTATCATGGTACCTTCACAAGCCTACCGAGGCTTCATGTGGGCATCTTTCATTTTCATGCTGTGGGCCTACACGCTATCTGCATACTTTCCCAGCCTTGCATCATGGTTGCATTTATCATGGCAGCCACCGGCGCGGATTTGAGCTATGTCTCAGTGTATTTCACAACAGAGGGACGGATCCAGCACTTGACTATCGACCTGTAATCACCCCGCCGAATCATCCACCGAAAGCTTGCATGAAGCGGGTCATGTGATCTTACTTTCCAGCTTGCGCAGAATCAGCACTGGAATCGGTCAAAGGCCCCTGAGTGGATTGGGACATTCGTTGACTTCGTGGGCAGAGCCTGGGCAGAAGGATGAATGCAAGGATTCATGTCAGTATGTACAGCGGCATGTCTCTTCACCTGGCCTTGGTTGGGATGAGTATCCAACTACCAAGGATTCTGCTGGGCCGGTATTAGCTTCTGGCTCGTGTCCTTTGCCCTCAGCATGCGAGGTGGCTCGGCAGGGCACTGTGGACATGAATTTCTAGATGAAAGAGTTTGAGCTGGCGTCGCACATCTCCGCCTTGCGGCATAATCATGTCCGCTTTCTGCGATTGATAGAGACGTTGAGACGATGTTCTCTGCAGAGCGACTCTGTGCGGTGGGGCAGATACCGCCAGATGCTGTCGACGGGAAGGTACTCCCGGCCCGGCACCTGGTCACTCGACCCGGCACAAACGTACTCGTATGTTTGCGGCTAATCACTAAGGCAGTGCCATTCAGTTTCACGCCCAAGGTCGAAGTGGCGATCTCCCCACCGCTTGCCCGGACGTCGCTTGCCGGCAGGTCCTACTGCTCCTGCTTCAGTAGGCCTTGTGAGCCGTCCATCATGTCGGGTGCGGTCGACGCTGCACGCGCAATTTAGCATGGATTCGCTTTCCTCCTCTCGGAGGTTCCTTCTCTCTGAAACTGAGTGCGCCTTACACCCGAAGACCGAGGCTGAGGATACCGCCGAGGTCGTCACGGCCGGTGGACGACCGCTTCTCACAGCGCTCGCCTCCACATGTCAGGCAAGCAGGTTGAATCCTTTCTTGTGCGTGCAAATTTGGTACCCTCAAGACAAGCAGGGCCAGAGCGCCGTCAACGACACGCTGACGCCGGCCAGACAGGTCCAGGCGGTCGTTTCATGCCCTCACTTGACTTGCGTTGCTGCATCACTCCAGTTCCAGAATAGCAAAGAGCCACAGTGGTCGCAGTTTTGAAACTGTTCGTAAACCATATGGGTTTTGTTGCATCAGGCCAGCTGGTGTTATGATCAGGTCTGATGCAGTTGACTCCGCATTGAGGGCGACCTGCACTTTGTTCTCTCTTTGTACAGCCACGTTGCCTCCAAAGCTGAGACGCGTCAAGGAAGGTTATGGGCAGAGCTGCCCAGCTTGCTGTCCAACGATTGCCGCTATGCACTCCTGCATTGACGATCGACGTGACAGCAAAGCCTTTTGTTCTCGATGCCCAAGTTTGCAGGCAAAGCCTGATTTCTGAATTTGTGGTCAGATGTACATGTACAGGCCTCGGCCCACTTGCGACCTGTGCTTGTCGGCCTGTTCTTCCGAAACGTGGTGGCTTACACCAGGTGATGTAACACAGGCCGCAGGCCAGCACGAGGTGGTCCTGCACGCAACGGTGTGCCGCAAAAAAAAGGTTGGCTTTGCGCTCGAAGCGTGCAATTTTTCCCAACAAGGCTCCGGCAGCTCAGCCGAGCAACCATGGGCCCGTGGCGTGAGTTGGGTGCCTCTGCCGGGCACAATGCTTCTCAGTGGATTCCATGTTAAGCCTCGGTTGTGCTCGGATCGCGGAGCCATGCGGAGCTTAAGGCCTACCGTGGTATGGAGCTGGAGCGGGACGGCACCTTCGAACAGCCAGCCTGGGCCCCTGTACCGAGAGAAACGATTTGCAGCGAGCTGTCTGCGAGAACGACAGCCGTCCACAAGTTGCACACTTGCAAAGCTACTCCAGGTTTTAAGGCCAAGCCTCGGATAGTTGTTTGAAGCTCGACTGGCCATCATGGGCCGACAGAACAGCGCAGGAGTCTGCCGACATCCAAAGCAACTCTAGGCATTGCCGTGGGTGGGATTCGCCGTGGTGTGGGACAAGATTTCGTTTCAGATCAGTTGAAGTCAAAAGAACGGTGCACCATGGTGCATCCCGATCCAGATCTGTTCGTGAGCAAGGCATGTCACTGCAGTCGCTGCTTGCTAGTCACAAATGCACCTTATACTACGACCACCGCCATTACTGGCCAGGAAGTTGACGCGGGTGGATTGGAAAGGGCGATTCCAGCACTTTAAGCACAATGCCGGACTCCAAGTTGATGTGATTCTGCTGCACGTGCTGCAACAAGATGCAGTGCTCGTTGCGCTGGTTTTTCCACTCAGATACCCACTTTTTGCACGCCATTCGGTGGTCATGAGATCACCTGCGTGGCACACCCGGACGAGGCGACATGGGTCACTGGCGGAAGTGGTAAGGGCTAGAGCATTTGTTCGCAAATGCTTTTCGGCTTAGGATTGAATATGGCAGCCGGACAAGTGCACAGCGCATCATTCATGACGCAGAAATGACGGACAGATCTGACAGATGTGCCGTGCAAACGGCAGAATTCAATTGTTTAGTGTTGGAAGGATCCAGCCCTGACACTCCAAGAACATCAGCTTCTGCCTGCAGGTGGCGTACCTAAGGTGTCGCCTCTGCACGGATGTGGTGCGTGCCAGCACGCAGGGAGTCTACCTCGAGGCCCAAGCACCTCTTCTCGGAGGCAGTGAACAACTGTCGCGATTCAGGTGGAGGTTGCAACAAACCCCGACAACCTCAGCATGGCGGTTGTGGATTTCGAGGCCTCCGGCTTCCTACGCCGTGGAGCTTGTATTCAACATAGGCCTGCTGTTAATCGTGCTTCTTCTGCAGCTTTCAGGCAGGTGGCTGCAGCAGCGTGACCTTCAGCACTGATCCAAGATCAGCCTAGAGAAGCGGTGAATGCGAAAGTAGAAGCAGCTCTGAGATGTCTCAGCTTGGCCCAGGCCCGGACACCGGGGCAGTGATTCGGGAGCGGAAGGTGCGTGAAGCCCCACGGAAGGCCACAAAGTGGGAGCAACGCAGTGAACCTACTTCTTGTGTTTGAGTTGTGTGTAATTATGGCATGATGTACAGCAATGAAGACTCAAGCAAAAGCCAAAGTAGCCCTATTTTCCGGCATAGCTTTTAGCAGCAACAGCTGCCTTGATCGCAGGTTGAAGGTGCATACATCCAGCCCTTGCCAACGGCCGGGGTCATGGATCATGGATGCAAATCGCCTTTCCTCAATGTTTCGCATAGCAAGCTTGCACACCCTAGAATCGCAGTCCGAGCATGCTTCGGGTGCCAAAACCGCGTGTGAAAGCAGCATAGGTGACAACGGGCCGTCCTTTTCATGGGCTGATGGGTCGCTCGTCCGCACGGCGAGGGCAGCGGAGGGCTTCAAGGAGGGTCTGGTCTTGATGTCTCGTCAAGGTCTCTACCTGTGCAAGGACAGACTGGCGTTCTTCAGGAGGCACAAGAGATCACAAGAGCACGTGCAGAGACTCCGTACCCAGTCTTGTCTTGCCATAGAGCTCAGGTGCCAGGTGCCGGCGGCGCCGGTTGAAGGCAGAGCATCTTAAGCCAAGCAGTCAGAGTGGCATCGTCACTTCGCGAAGCGAAGTCTCTGTGCCACAGGTGGCGCTCAGAGCGATTCAAACACACCGCCAGCCCTGGCCCTAGAACGCCACAAGGGCGCAGCTCAACTCGAAGATGTTGGGATGCGGATGCCTGCGCATGCGCTTTGCACTTTGCAGGGGCTGGCAGGTGGCAGGTCGGAGCCTTTGTGAGCTTCCCACTCGCTCCTTTCTGTAGTTCGCGAGTGCCCGTGCTGTGCTTAGATGGAGGTTCTTCCCGCCTCTCCGCGGTCGACCCGAGCCAGGCTCGGGTCGCTGAAACGGTGCCTAGCGGCAAAGCAAAGCCCCCCCCGCCCGGCAGACCGAACAGAGATGGGGCCGTGGGAGACCACGGGCTTTGTCTCCGACTTGGACTGGGCAGAGGCGGAAAGAAGAGCATAGCTTTGGGGCTTTGGATGGCACGGCTTGCATGCGGCACGGCGGCACTGGGACAGGGCCGTCGCCTGACACCATGCCTCGCCTTCCGCGATGAGGGCGCCTACCGCGTAGCCTGGCTCGTTTCGAAAGTCGAGTCCAGGGGTAAACTGCATTCGGCTGCAGAAGCAATGGTCGGATTTCCACAAGAGCTTTTCGGAACCCGGTGACGTCATGTCGCGTTCCCATCGTCGCATACTTTAACGCAGGTGTTTTTTTTTTCACGGCCTTTTGCTGTGCTTCAATGTGCTGAGGGCCGCCGACGTTAACATGTTCCTGGATCAAGAACTATAGGTCTGACTAGGTGTGTGCTAGAGGGCCAGGGAAGGAGGCAACGGCGCGCCACATCAACAAAACACGGGCCACGACTGCCATAACGTAGGCCAACTTTCAAGGAGGGAGGTCTGGTCTCACTGGCTGTTGTGGTCACGGCGCAGCCCTGCAAAGCTGATCTTGTGAAGCATGGTACCAGGTCCGAATTGTGAGAATTGGCCGGACTCCTGGAGACTCGCGTTTGCCGTGCTAACCAGGGCCACTGTGCACACGATCAGGTGCAACGCCACCGATCGACGTACAGAGTGCCTCTTGGGACGCACATCTTCAGCCCTTGCAGCTTGACGAAGCTCGCGACAATCGCTCTTATTTCTGTGCATAAGGCCTCCCAGTCTGGCTCCAAAATTCGTGAACAGGAGCCGACATACTGCGTCACGTGCACGTTTGGGGGATGGTAGCTTGAAAGGGCTGTCGTCCAAAGGCGTGCTATTGGCAGACTGGAAGATCGTTCCTGCTCGTTCGGAGTCTCATGAGTCCATGATGATCTCGGCCGTTACCTGCTCGAACCTGGATCTCAGAATGCCTTAGTCTGCACAAGCCATGCTTCTGCTCATACTGTTCTGCTGCGCCAGCCTCGCGTCTACAGTGAGATATAATAAGGAGGAGGATGTTCATGTGAAGGAGCCGACAATACGATGGCACCAGTCGGAGAGCTGCCAGGACCCCTTCTTCAGGTCATCGAGGGTACCCCAAGGGCCAAGGTGTCAAAAAAAGGCATTCATCCTGGACCGCCATCTCGACTTCATACCCCTAAGCGGGAAATGTCACTTGTTCTTGTTGCCCGGCCCGAAGCAGGAAGTGCAGGACTTTGCGCCAGAGCCTGCCTTGCTGAAGATCAACCTAGACCTGTCCAAAGTGCCGCCGGCCCCAGTCGACTGAGAGCGCACTAAAAGCAAAGAACCTGTGTTTCTTCCCAAACGGCTGAGGTGGTCTGCGCTGTCAGGCGAGGCTCTCGTGGCCATCAAGGGCATCGAGAACATGAGCTGCAGCATGGACCTGGAACTGAGGCCAGCGGCTCCACACATAAACGTGGTAAACAAAACAGCACAGACTCAGGTGCATTTTGCAGTGCGTGTTTTTCAGAAACAGAGGAAGTCCGTGGGCTCAGAGGAGATCGAGCTCGCGGTCACGTCCCGGACACTGCTGCGTGGTGACCTCCAAGGAGTCGTCATGTCCATGCCTGGCATTCCAACGACAGCCTTCAGAAACGTTTCCTTCAAGGCAAAAGCCAAAGACCCGCATCTGCCACTGCTGTCGCTGTCGGCGAAGGTTGTGAAGGAGAACGGCCGGAACGTCTTGAAATTTCCCAAAGAGGATCGAGACATGAATCTCCAGCTCGAAGATCTGAAGGTGGAAAGGTGTGGAAAGATCTGCGAAACGGCATGGTGCCATATGGTAGCTGTACTAAGTCTAGGACTCAGATTGGAAGTGTCAGTGTGTTCCAGGTCCGCGGGAATGGGACTTACTGGAGCGGAACGGTGGCCCGCCTGACAAACCTCTTCAGCCGGGTTGGCGCTGTCAACATCAAGGCCGAGCGTTCAAAGCCGTACTGGAGAGTAGGGAGAAGGACGGTCTTGCAAAATCGACGGAGGCTTTCCAGCAGATCCTTGCCGCTCTGGTCTTCCGATTTGTGGTGAACTTGGCCAACGAGGCGATCCCGTCCGAGCTTCTCGGGTTGATGGGGAGCAAGGATCATGGCCTACTTGCTGACTTGGTGATGAATGTGGGATTCTACGGTGCTGGCAATCCAGAGGATCCAGAAATGTCACTGTTTGTGGCTTCAAGAAACCTCGCCCTTGAAACGTCACATGCAGGCTGGTGAGATGATGCTTGCGCAGTAATTCTAGACTCTGGAAGCCAAGCAGGCCAGGTAGATTGCTCTGTAGACTCATACCGCCTGGAGGTCTGACGGACTTCGTGAATGGTGGCTTCGATGGCATGCGTGAACTTGGCTTGTCCGATGATTTCGAGAAGACTCGTCAGAACCTTCTGAAGTTGGCCGTGGAAGAAGAGCTGAACATGGACATCAACATTTCTAACTTCATGGCCGCAGACATTTTGGACTCCCATCCCGATGGTTGGGGACCCGGCATAAGCATCAGTGTCAAGATGGATATGACCGGACAGGTGGATGCGTGGAACGCGGAGGAAGGCGAGGCTGCAGGCCTTGAGGACCTCGAAGACCTGGAGCTAGCAGATCGATTCCCCGAGATGCCCTTCACGAGCTTTGGAGAGTCCTGTCTGCGCAAAAAGAGTTGGATCGATGCGACAAAAAGCTGCAGAAACTGGGCCCTGGATGCGAGGAAATTGAAAGGCGAGAAGGATGTAAATGACGTTGCTTTTGAGCAGTCTATGCAGTTGTTTGGGTCATGGGTGCACCTGGCTTTGAAGAAAGCATTTCCATCTCTGTTCCGGAGGCCTTTGGAGCGGCAGGTTCTTGCCACGGCACAGCAATGGAAGGACAACTGCAGTTATGCCATGCTCTCCCTCCCCTCCGGCGAGTGGTGGACTCCTGTCGTGGCCGTTTACGAAGTCCTTCAAATCTACAATCCGGATGTGTCCGAGCTTCACGATGTTTGGAAGAATTTCCGCTTGGACGCCCAGCTTCGCCAAACAACTTACACCCATCCCGTGGCAGGGCAGATGGTAGCCATCGGGGAAGGTGTGAAAGACGGGCCCGCAATGAGAATGAGCTATGCCGGAAAGTGGCATGATCTTCTCAAGCTGGTTCCGCCAGGAATCTTGTACTTGTAGTATTACGCGCGTTCCACACGGCCCTGGACAAAACAGTGAGGCAAAAGCTGCTGCACGGACCGACTTTAGGTGGATCTCTGAAACTGCTGCGAGGACTGGAGAACCAGCTGGAGCGGCTTCGACTGGGAGGCGCATCTCCGCAGATTGCAAAGGGAGCCACGGCAGGAGTCACGTGACAGGTGACACCCCGTGACGCTGTGTTATGGAAGCATAGAAGGCGCAGCTGTGCAACTTCGATGCTGAGGTCGGCTCAACAGAGCTTGCGGCGCCGACGTCCACCTAAGGGTGCGAAGTGGCCTCGTTTGAATTTGCGCTGCTTGGCTGCTTGTTTTGCATTGGAAGCGGCACTGAGAGCTGCTAAGCTTGTGGCGCATCCGCAGCGGCAGGCCCAGAGCACCGGCACTCTAAGAGCAGCAGCACAGGACTCACAAGGCTTCCTGGTTGAGAGTCAGCCTTGTACATAGAACTCAATAAAATCCCAAGCAGACATGGCAAGACTTGCAGTGCCGCTCTCAGCTCAGAGCCTTGACCGCCGTCAGCGTCCCATGCACTTGTATCGCCAAGGTGCTGACCGTCTGCCTCTTTGCAGAGGCCGTTGCCCATTCGCCCCAAGGCCTTGGCCTGATCGAGAAGCAGATCACTGGGCCCGGGTAGTTTTCAGGTTCCAATGGAGAGCGTATGCGTGGCAGCCGACGACTCTGGGACATAGCGGCGCGAGATGCTTGATCAGAAAGACTGCTGTGAATTGGTCCATTTGGGGCAGACGGCGGTTCCGACAGCAAATTACTGCAAGACCCCACGTGCTAGATCCTCAGGAGAAGCATATCTGGGGTCGATGCGATCGCTGGGATGCCAAGGCTGGTGATTTTGATCGCAGATTGGCGCGTTGAGCTTGCCTGCTTGAGCTTGAGAAGGTCAGCGGATGCGAGCTGAACTCTGAGTACAAGTGCAGCGAGCTGGTCGCATTGGGTCAAGTGTCTGCGAGGGTGTGGACTTCCCACACTGCAATGCACGGCCTGCAGCGGCGCATTGACCTGTTCAGGTGACCGCATCTCGCAAGGTCCTGCACAGCTGCTTGGGTGCAGGGGTTTTCTCACATTCAGTCGAGGTTTTGGGGGTGAGCCGTCGCGCATGTGACAACAGACGACGGCGAGGTATGATATGGAGATTGTTCTTGGAAACTTGACCCCATCGAGAGATGGTCATCCTGTGCATTTGGCATGGTGGGCCCTTACCTCAGAGTTTCTTCATAATTGTCAGACATGAGCAGCACAAGTTCAAGATGTCTGGGGGGAGTGCAGATGCTTTTCTAGGCTCCTCAGAAGTCCCAGACGGCCTGGAATCCCCATGACAGCCTCGAAGGCTGTGTCGTAGCCTCACGATCTGATGTGGACTCCTTCGCATGGGAAGTGCAGGGACCTTGTGCATATCAGTCCGACTAGTGAAGTTGGCTGTTGCGCCAGCATCCGCTAATGAATCGCTGGCTGCGCTGTCTGGCAGATCCATCGGATGCAGGTTGCGCAGTGTACAGGGACATGAACGAGGCGTACCCAGACTTCAGCGATCCGAACTTCAACGGCGGCAACTTGGTGGTCGGGCCTGGGGCGTTGCTTCTCCTGTGTCGCAGTCCTGTCTCAACATGTCTCGTCTTGGAGGTGAGTCAGAGTGGCACAGTGACCATACGTGTGCAGAGCCCGAGCTCAATGGAAACTACGTTTGCTTTGCCCTGCTCTGTTCAACGAGTTGAGGGCTCGGCTGCCGTCAGCTTAGGAATCCTGCCACCTACTTTGTGACGCATTGGATCTCTGTGCCTCACATCCACCTCCGCCTTTGCAGCAATGCCTGGGTCTTAGCTGCCTGCAGTCAGGGAGTATTGCAGTCTTGCTGGTCGGATGGGTCGGGCTCATCGTTACTCCCAGCAGCGATTCCCGCTGTACTCAAGGATACCTTTGCGCACACCACGCAAGATGCGATCATCTTCGTGAGAAATGGAGCCGAGCTTGTTGCTGGTGAGGCGACGGGACACGAGAGCAGCTCCTTTACTCTCAGCCTGCCTAGCAGGTTCAAAGATGGATTTAAAGCGGTGGGTGGCCGTGTCTGCAGGCCGGGTCGTCGCTTCAGATCAAGAGCGTGAAGAACTACACTTGGACCGAGCGACCGGGAACCGGCAACGTGAGTCTCGGCCCCAGCGGAAGGCTGCTCCTTTGGCGTTCGTGAGCGTCAGCACAGCTTGAACTGCTTGCCTCGACCATGTAGCCGCAGCCTTTCGTCCCTGAGGTGATACAGGCATTGCTGGCATCCTGGTGTGGAGAAGGGTGCGGTGCATTTTCCCGAAACACATCGAAGCACTCACAAGCTATTGTCTTCGAAACCCCTTCTGTGTTCCAGGAGGGTACGACGACCACCTTGGCACCTGGCCAGATCCAGCAACTTGTCGAGGACACGATGGACAGGATGAACTTGGCCTCTTGGAAAGAGAAGATCCTTCACCAGGCTGACAGTTTCTCCGTGCGGTTGTAAGTGAAGCTGAGGATGCATTGGAGTTTTCGCCGATTTATCAGTGCTTTGAGAACGATCAGCTTTACGACCACTTCACCGCAGATTGTTCCTTGGTCGCAAGTCGTAGCAGAGTCTTCTTTGGATCGCTGTGTGACCGCTGTTTGACAGGCACAACGAGCTGCGGTGGTGGTGCAGAGGTGGCCCACGGCCAGTGTTCCTCGGCGAGTGCACACGTTCAAGGTTTGGGGCCAGGAGATGCTGGCCGGGCACAGTGGGGTTGGCAAGCGTCTTGGGAGCAGGTAACAGGAGAGGAGCATGAGAAGTCCATCCAACAAACCAAAACTCAAGAACCGCCACTACTCACTGATTAGTGCTCGTCGATGTGCTCGTCGGTGTCAGACTCCGGCTAGCCCGAGATAGCTGAGTATCATCTCGATACATCAGATCATCAGCCTGCATTTGCTCTGTGGCGCCGGCCGAGGTGTGCGACCCGCACGTTTCTCGGAATCCAGCGTCGTTGGCATCTGGCAGCTCATGGGCACCTGCAACGAGGAGCGCAGGGACGCTGGCCGAACGGACACTCCCGCCCTTGTAGACTCGGATAGCACTGCAGGCTTGCTGGAGCCAGTGGAAGAACGTGACCCTCCACGACGCGAGGCAAGTGCTTTTCGGCTGTGTGCTGCATCCCAGCTCGTGTGAAGAGAGGCTTGCGCTGGCAGATCTGCTGGACGTCCCCTTTCAGGTCCGATGGCCGTACTCCGTACTCGCACTTATCCACTAGCCTGGCCTTGCAGTCGATTCGCTGTTCCGTGCTGTTGCCGGAGACAGCAGTATCGCACGTCCAGCACTGGCAATCTCCAGGAGATCTCGAGGGTCTCGATGACTTTCCATGCATCTGCGGGGCGCCGGCTGAGCACTGACAAGTTGGCAACCTTTCAGGCGGGGACGGGTACTGTAGGAAGGGTTGCAGGCGGGGATCTGCAGGGCGCTGCTTGCTGTCCGCGCTCGTCCCCCGAAGATCATGGTGACCACGAAGCGCTTGCCCAAGAACGACATCAACACCCTCATGCGAACTTTCTTGACTGATCCGGCCGCTGCGGCAGATCCCTGACTGAAAGCTGAAGTCATGGCGATCCGATCCCGGCACAGAGTCGGAAGCCAAGGATGTTATGAACTTTCCGGTGACCGAGGCGCTCCGCTCGTAAGGAAGCTTTCACAGCATCTCCTGGGTCAGCTCGGCAGCTCGGGGCTCTCGGACAGGTCACGATGACGGACATGAACGACCGCGGAGAATGGAGAAACGTCGAAACTGGTTCCAGTCTCGGAAAGCTGATTTCCACGCAGTGCCTGTTTTGACCATGCAGCTCTGTCATGTTGCTGAATGCAGCTCAAGCAGCATTGACTTGGAACATGTTGAGTGTACCTTCTTGTATGATGGCAGCCTTCGAACCCACCAATGCGAGTACTGCCTTTAAGTGGCTTGATTATCGCCCCAGCTCCACGGTTCCTGCCTTTCTGTTCTGTGGAGCCACTTTGGAGCGCCATGCAGCTGAAGCAGCGAACTCAGAGTAGACCTGGCTGTCTCTTGGTCTGATCCAAGCGATGCGAATGCCAACCAGGCCCCTTTGTCTTGGCTGCTTTACCGCGAAATCTGTCGATGACGAGGTCCCAAGGGTGGGCCTGACCTGATATGCGACGCAACAGCATCTCCTTGGGTTGCTAGAGGTGCAGCTGCCTCGCACGCCAAGCAGCGCAAGTGTACCCAAGGCCGTGGCAGAGAGCTCGGCAATCCAAACTTGCGTGCCTTGTCAGGATGAGGTGATCCTTTCTCCAAAAGATGATGCTAGTTGCCTTCCGGACACCTCGTAACATCGGCTCTCAGTTGTAGATCCGCATCGGAGAGCAAGAACTTGGGGCAGCATGCTGTACGCCTGGCAGGAATTCCTGACCGGTCAGTGGAAGCAGGCTGGGACTAGGGTGACCGGTGACCGGGAGCCATCATGAAGCAGTGGAAGCAGCTACCACGTTCCGTTCTGTTGGCCAAAGCTTGGCCCTGAGACCTTGTCGGACTGCAGCACCGTCCCGTCTGAGCCCACGCCGGAATGCCAGCGCAGCACAACGATGCTTACAGATCCCGAGAAGGCAGTTTATGCTTTGTAGCGACAGTCCTGAAATTCTTCTGACATCCCAAGATTACTTCCATATCATCCACAGACCATGCTTTGTCATTCGAGTCACTTCCTGTATTCTGCGGAGACAGACATCACCAGCCTGAGAGATGGGGCCGGAAAGTAGTGGCGGTCACCACCCTGTCCACTTCCCGATCTCCAGCCCAGGATATGACTCCCATGGTCTCGGAGTACTTTCCGTATACTTCATCTCCATCGCCGGTCGAGCAGCCTATTCGCCGCACGCCAAGAACAACCAGAAAGGGGCAGAGGAAGTGTGCAAGATTTTACACTTCCTACAGCCGTTGTTCCATGGTCTCGGCGTGGTTGCAGCGCGAAGCCTTTAATGAAAACGTCGGCTGGACGGAAGGGGCTTGCAGATGCCCCAGACGTGGAGCAGGGAGCGACTGCTGCTCAGGTCAAGGAGTAGCAGCAGATGCTTTGGGCTGTGGCTGGGTGTGGTGTGGTGAGTGTGGTGTGGTGTTGCGCGTCTCTGTCTGTGTGTCTCTCTGTGTGTATTACGTTGGGATGTGTTAGGAGCCCGCGCAAACTAACAAGGTCCGGCACCGGTTCTGCCGGAGATCGTGCCAGGGCCCAAGCTCAGGCAAGCTTCAAAGTGCCTCGACGCAGAGCCTAACTATCGGCAATGGCCTCGACTGCACAGAAGCTGCGTGCTTGGGAATCGTTGTGGCCGGTTATCGTAGTCTTGTCCAAACCGGTTCGCCAAGCAAAAAGCTCCGAGTTGCCAGAACGGGTATGTGACACAGCACAGCTCGTGGTCCCGCGATCTTGACACAGACACAGAGTTTGTCACCAGCTTTTTCTTCCGAAGCTTATGTTCCAACCCGTCGGCAGTACATGATGACATACTATAGGGATAAAGATAAAGCACGCTTCGCACCAATGGTGTCCCGCAGATCACAAGCATCGCTTGGTGTTCCAGAATTAGACGGAGGCGTAACCCGTAGACCGCCACGAAGGGCAGCCGTGAGGATTTGCTCTGTGCTTGAGGAGTTCTCATAACAAGCACTCCTGTTCGTACATTGTGTGCATTGGATGCGTACGCAGCCTAGGCCTGCTCTGCAGCTACAGCACTTGCCGAGCAGATGCTGGGCTGTATTAGAGCGCACTCAACGCACTGCAGAAGAGGGGAACGAGAAATGTCGTGGGCTGATCTTCGGTATCCAGGAAGTTCTCCGGGCAGCCCCACGCACCATGACCAGTCGGCCACATCCGGGGCGGCTCAGCCGCAGCCAACCGCAGCTCTGTGCTTTTGCCTGTATGGTCGGCTTGTTTGTGCCGATAGACCCAAGCTTGAGACCACTGGTGAAACGCTTCTGCAAAAGCACTGCGCAAGGGTGTTGGCTTGAACGGAAAGCTGTCGAACCCTCGATGCTGTGACGTCTGCAGGAGTCATCCCCTGTATGTCGGAAGCGCCTCTCGGCAGATGCTGAAGCTTAAGCAGTTCTTGTTGTCTCACAGGCTCAGAGGCTGTCAGCTGCTGGCTAGTGGTCTTGACAGTCTTGCGAGCCATGGAGTTCAAAGATTTAGATCGGCATGTTCTTGCGGTTGGAAGCATGCAACCAGGTTCAGGGCCGGGAGTGCACAGCTTGTGTACCATGTTTCCAGCTCCCCTGAGGAGCAACCCCCTCGCTAAAGCAGCCTCTTTTGCTTGGTCTGACTTCTATTTCCATTTCTTGTTGTCTAAATTTCCAAGCGTAGCTACATACCAATGTGGATAGCCTGAAGCCTCTAGCATGTCCCTTCCCTTCAGTCGAACTGCTCGGTCATTTCGGGAAGCATTTGCCTGCATCTCCAAGCTCCAGGAAATGTCAACTCAGACTGAACTTGTTCAAGGCCAATCCAAGCTTGCTTTCCCGAAATATGGACTGGCAACTTCCGTCAGCAAAAAACTCTGCCGGTTACAGAGCTTCCCAGCTTCGTGAGCAAGAAACGTGAACCCAATCAAGGTGAGCTCTTCAAGACTGCCTGGCCTGCTTAAAGTCTAAAGTCGGGGCAGCTGCTGTAATGCCCGTCCGGCTCTGTGAATTGAGCTGGGTCGTACTGGTTCTGCAGATTTTGGTGGTCGTGCAACTCCGCAACTTCGCGCCAGGAAGATGGGGAAGCGGGTCACTGCAAGACTGACCACCCAGTAATGCCCTCAGACGGCTGAGACCATGCAGCATCGGTGGCTACACCAAGCGTCTCGCATCTCGAACGCAGATGGCTGCACCGAAGAGAGGATGACCGAGAACTGGGCCGAGGTTCAAGAACCTGATTCGGAGATCCTCTTCCTTGCATGCAGCAAGTAGGCTGGAACGGGCAACTCTCGCACTTCGAAGCTTGTTGCGCCTTGTGTCAGAGCATGTGAATGCAGCCAGCGAAAGCAAGTGCATGCAATGTCCAGTTTCAAGCACATGGCCCAAATTTGCAGTTCCGGCAGGCACATCCCTTCGGAGCTAGGAGTTCCCTCAGACCCGCCGCTGCTGACCCACAGAATTCCGCAGGCCAAACGCTTTCTCTCACAGTTGGTGTCTCGTCAGAAAGGGGCGACCATGCAGGCATGTTTAACAAGGTGCGGTTCCGGGAGAGGACGGTGCCCATTACGCCGTGGCCAGCCCCAAAGTAGTTGACATTTGAAGGTTTAGATCGGTGGATGCTTTCTGTGTTCGTGCCGGTATCTTGGAAACTGCCTTGAACTCAAAGCTCGATCATTCCCCGGTTGCTCTTTCCGCGTGCAATGATGATGTCCTTGTGAGGTTACCGTCGGACGTAAAGCATGCTGGTGTGCGTGATGCTTTTCTTTCGGGCATGTCAGACCCGTTCGGCAACGTCATGGCCCGTGATTACGACAGCTGAGGACACCTCCCCAACGAGCTAAATTTTCTTGTGGAAGGTGAGTGCAATGAGTCCCGCTTTGGTCCCCCGCTCTCAGCCAGGGCTCGCTTTGCTCAGGGCCATCATGGCACCACCAACAACTGTTGGTGCACCTGATTGCACTCTTGATTCGAATCACAACCTGAATTGCGGGTCGCTCACTTTCATTCATGATATCAGTGACCAGTTTGCGGTCTTTCCGCGTGCAGGTTGGACCGTTTACTCATGATTTGCCAGGATGGACATAAAAGCTCCGTCCCGGTTCCTACGCGCGACAGCAACTTACTCGTTTTGCACTGCTCCCGCTTACATCCCTGCAGGCAACATGGGTGCAGTAGTAGTAGCAGTAGCAGTAGCAGTAGCAGTAGCAGTAGCAGTAGCAGTAGCAGTAGCAGTAGCAGTAGCAGTAGCAGTAGCAGTAGCAGTAGCAGTAGCAGTAGCAGTAGCAGTAGCAGTAGCAGTAGTAGTAGTAGTAGTAGTAGTAGTAGTAGTAGTAGTAGTAGTAGTAGTAGTAGTAGTAGTAGTAGTAGTAGTAGTCGTAGTAGTCGTAGTAGTCGTAGTAGTCGTAGTAGTCGTAGTAGTAGTAACTGGATGAGCCGTCCGTCTTCGTTTCTGATCTTGGGCACGACTGTTCTTGCAACGTCCTCTGCCGTGTCCGTTAAATGCGCGCATGACAATCTGACAATCCCCCTCCTCATGCGGCCTGGTGGCCTCCTGGCAGGCAACGGTCAGCAGAATCTGGGAAACCATGCAGAGGCCAGGGCCAGCGGGGCAGTAGCGGGGCAGCGGGCAGGGGCAGGGGCAAAGAGGGATTCGGGCGGGACGGGCTTTGCTTGGCGCAGCAACTTCCGGAGGCCGAGCCATTGCCCGCTTCTGCAGTTCCTCAGCCAGGCCGTTTAAAGGGCTCGGGCAGGGCTCCAAGGGCTCGGGCCCAACGCTACGTCTCCACGGCGAAGGTGTGAAGGTTGCTGGATTGCGCTTGTAAGCAACGCTCGGATAACTTGACTTGGTTTGGGCATCACGGCTCCTGTGCAGTGCTGGGTTTTGCGCTTGAACGTCCATACATTGCAAAGGGCGGAGCGCTGGATTTTTGCAGGTGGGAGGATGCCATGACTTCCACACCTCGCTATGGGAGGATTGTCGGGATGTTGCGGCCGCGAAGGCCAGAACCGGTGGTAGAAGTAGGATGTCTTGTTGCGGTAGCAGTTAGATGGCCGCAGTTGGTCGAAGAGTCACCGCATCCCCACTGCAACTTCAGTCAAACACCCGACGGATCCCTTGTGGAAGTTCGTGGACAGAATTTGCCAGTAAGCTCCTCAAGACAGCAATAGGTCCACCGTTCCACCCACCTAAAGCGAGCTCAAACTTTAGGGTCATTGTAAAGGCGCAGTGCAAGCACAAGCACCGGTCGGGATTCGAGCACCCCACTTCGAGCACTCACCCAACTAAAGCACCAACAGATTCAGGCAGTCGGAGTTCGAATGTTGCAAGTTTTGAAGTATCCACAGGGTTTATAGGTTTGAGGGCTTTAGGTTTCTAGGACTTAGTGTTTAAGGTTCAGGAGTTTAGGCTTTGGGGTTGCAGGCTTGTCGGGTGCGGGAATTAGGGTTGTTTGGGCAATGCCCGGATCGGGGGATCCCGACACCTGTGCGAATCCTGTCGGTGCACGAACTTGGCAGTGAGTTCACGAATCCTTGGCGCGTGAATCCCGTGCTTTCGGTGCGTGAAGCTCTCTGAATCCTCCGCCCAGGGCGAATCGTCCCGCAACAGTGTGTGAATCGGGGGTGTGCGAATCCACCGATGGTCGAATCCGCCGTGTGTAAATTTTCGTCGTTCCAGAGTGCAAATCAACTTGGGGCCTAAGTTGCGATCAATAGAAGGTGATTTCGCTCTGCAAGATCATGTGAGAATGTGCTTCGGCCAAATCATTCCCGCAGCGCGTGGCAGATCCGGAAGTGCTGCTACATGGCCCCCATTCCTGACGACATCCCGAACTTTGCCAGGCCAATGAGCGGGGTTTGCTGGGTTTGCGCCGACGCGGTAGAAATTTGCAGCTGCCAGAGTTGTAGCGGCGTTCCTTGTCCGCTTCATGTTTGTTCTCCGAAGCCTGGACTTCGGTGCTTTTTCAAAGATGTTCGGTGCAGTCGATGTTTTTGCAGATCGCTCTTCAACATGAAGCCATGCCAGGCGTCTGTTGAACATTCCTTCCCAGATCAGACTGGACCTCAGCTTCAATTCTCAACCAAACTCAGACATGCAGCTTTATAAATTATGTTAGTTGCCTGCTTCGCCGTTCTTTTGGGCTGAGGCACCTGCTCAGTGTGGCGGCTGTTCTACACCCCGGAGGACCTGCAAAAGATTACTGCGCTGTGCCTGGCGGCTCGCTGTCCTCGGAGCCGTCGGTGTCGATGTTTTGCAGTACTGTGCCGAACCCACCAAGTACTGTTGGGGTTATGTCAATATGAGTCGTGCTTGATGCGTGCAATCGTCAGGAAATGTGGTTCGTGCAGCATAGCTATACGGGAGACGTTCTGTATGGCGACCGGTTTAAGGCACGAACAGTTATGGATCTTCCAGGTGAGTCCAGAGCTTGAGTGGTGCAGTCTTGTCCGGTCCACAGGTGCAGTGCACCGTCCGCTTCACACAGGCCTCTCAATTGCACGTCAGGTGAAATGCAAAGTTTGCAGCAGGCACGCTGATGCTCCAGAACGCAGCGAGGGCTGGGTTTAATGAAATGATGATCCACATCGAACTTGACTGTGCCCCCTCTTCACGTATTCACGCATTTTACAAATTACTGCTGCACATACTCTCGTGGCCATACTCCCAACAGGAAAAGGCAACTCTTCATGGCCCTGCACTGGTACTCAGGAACCAGACGCAAAAATCGTCACTGTCGACCAGTGGGTGGAGATAGCTTGGGACAGTGCGTGTTCCCTGTGATTCAGCCTTCAGTTCAGCGTGTCTCTGAAGCTTTTCTGCCTCTCCAGGACAAGCCGCTGCCCTTCACCCACGGCATGGTCCGTAACTTCACTTCCGTCGGGTCAGTGGGTCGGCTGCCGTCGTAGCCTTTAAGGTCCGCTGCTTCATCGAAAGCAAGGCCCATGCCGACGGGCGCGTGTGGCCCTTGGGCTAACGGCTAACAGGCTCCTCTAAGGCTTCCACGGCTCGTAAGATTTGGGGCGAGAGCAAACCTGAGGCTCTCGGCGGTGACTTGGTGCGCTGCATCAAGGCAGATCCGCCTCCGTCACAACGCAAGGTCTTGCAAGCCGGAAGTCTTCTCAGGAAGCCGTGGAAGCCTTGGAGCTACAGGAGCAGGCGGAGCAGACAAGTTTGTTGTGTGAAGCTTGCTGGAGCATTCACTGGACTTCAGCACTTGCCCGGAAAGTGCGAGCCTGCGTGCTCCGATCAAGACTCTGGCAATGAGAGTATCAGTTGACGTTTTGATCTCTGCTCGCATTGCCACTTTCATGCTTGGTTATGCTTGTTTCATGTTAGGTTGCTGCAGATGAAGCTCGGGCCGCCCAGCAGGGAGACGTGCGGAGCCTACCTGCAGTCTCCACAGCTTTTCGGAGCGAGAGATGTGAATCTGGGAAACTGTCGAGTTCTCTCTCCCACCGGAATAGACTGCTGCATGCGGAAAGACATAAGGCTGAGGAAGTCGTCGGAGAGTCCGCGGCCTCAGCCGAGGACCGGGGCTGAGTAACAGCTGTGATTCCTCCGTCATGTTGCAGCCAGGAGCCGAGGTTTCAGAGTCTCTGAGACTGAGACGCTCTGAGACTCCGAGACTCCGAGCCAGCCAGAGCCGCAGGCTCGCTTTGAGGTCCCCGGCGGGCCCTCTGTTCGGGTCGGCGGGGCCTAGGGCGGTGGCCTAAAAAACGGAGCTTCGGAGCCGAGCTGAGCCGGCTCAAAGAATCGCTGAAGGCTCAGATGGCTCTGGTTTGAGGGTTTGAGGGTTTGAGGGTTTAGGTTTGATCCCGAGATCTGCTATGGCAGTTGTGCTCCTGAGCCGGTGCAGTTTTAGAGAATCAGACGTCGTCTGCAGTTCCAAGTAGTCAGCTCCCTCCGGAGGGAGGGTGCTCAGGTCCTCAAAGTGGGCTCAGCGCTACAGTTGCACACCCACCAATGCCAGATAATTCGACCATATCATGATGATGAGCAGCAGACCTCATCAAAGGTCGGGACGGACAATTCCAACCACCTTCAAATTCAGTCTGGAAACCCTTTGTCCTAGTGCTTCAGGGCCAGACCACTTGCAGTGCTGCGGCTTCGGAGTCCATCAGAGGCCCCGAATGCTGAGCACAGCTGCCGCAGCTCTCAGCTCACTATACTGCCCTTCGGATGCTTCTCTTCGAGAACACTTGTGTTAGAGCTAGTATACAAGTTGGGATGGAACAGTCTGGCAACGGGAGCTTTTTTTTCCAGTCTAAATTGCGTGGCTACAAAGGCTGCGCATTTCACCACTGTGGCGGCTGCCTAGCTTTCTGTGCATCGGCCATACTCAGGGTCAAGGGTGCTGAGTGCACCGTTCTGAAGAGACTCGTTTCGGATCATAGGTGTTAGCAAATAGGTTGGGTTGGCCAATGCAGGTGGAGCCAGATGGGGACTCGATGCATGGCCCCATTGCCGATCTCTAGCCTGACTGAGTGCTGCGACGGACCTCCCATCTGTCCGACCGTGGGCTTGTTCGGCGTAGCTTGTCCTGCAAATTGAGCTTTGTGTGCCGGCCTTCGTGCAGACTCTTGAGATCAGTCATGAACCGTCCTCTCTGGCAGAGGGCGAAGGTTTGGGGTGCGGGATGCGAGGGCAGGAGATGCCCTCTCTGGCCGCTCAATATTTCCAGCAGTCAAAAGAACTCGCACTTCCTTATGTTCGTGGCTAAGCACCACGCTGCCGTGATCTGCCATGTACAGGTGCAATGCAGCATCAGGATGGCTCCCGTCATCTACAGAAGCATCCGCGAACTCGTGCGAAAGGATACCCTGAAAATTAGACCTGAAGGCTTTGGACTCTTCACGCAGTGATCTTGGAATGAGTGAAACGATAGCACACGCTGGGGCCCGACTGAGGCAGTGGAGACAGGACGGATGTGATTGACGACGGCACCGATCCCTACCAGGCTAGCGACTCAGTGGCCAACGCAGCTACTGGCAGCTCCGTCTCCAATCGGCGTCGCCAGTGCATCCGCTTGCGCACCAGGGTGCCTACGATGAGAAGGAGCCCAGGAATGTGTGAAGCCAAGACCCTTTTCAAAGTGAGCTGCTTCTGACCGAAACTGATCTAAGAACTGGCAAACCATCGGAGGCCGACGTAAGAACGCAGCCGGGTAGTTCGGATGAGCGTCACGGCGCAGGTATTCCCACCGGAGACCTGCCAGTTGGAGTCGTGGAGGCCCCAGTCGGGCCCAGGTCCATGAGCCGTCAGCCGTCTCGGATTGCCGACACCCTGCCGACACCTGAAACACTGAAACATCGCAGCCGACCAGTCGCAGCATGAGTGCCCGATGCCAAGATCGTGGGCGTCGCCATCGCCGTGATCTTTGTCGGCTTTGGCTTCGGATTCTTTGTGGCTTGGCGACGGGAGGGAGTGCGGCTTTGTCAGCTCTGTCCTGTGATACGGAAACGGCGGGGTTGTGAAGCCGTGCAATGACAGATCCTGTACCGCCGCCGTCGGGCCATCACCGAGTGACAACCTCAGTGTATGGGATGCAAGCCCAGACTGGAAGCCGCTCAGGATAAGCCAGCAGCCAACTAGAAACAAACGCGTCGAAGTGTCACTCGATTGGGATCCTTGTCAGGATTGCATCCGGTGAGCGTCATGTAACCGCCGCAGGCACAGGGAGTCAGGAACAGGTGCATGCGGCATGCCAGTCACACGGAACATGTGCGCAGCAGTTGGAATCTGTGGTGTTTGGCTTGTTCTGATGACACCGCCGCGCCGATGAGCATCCTTGTCTCCCTGGCCCCTTGTGTCCAGGCACAATCATTGGGAGCGGTGGACCGGCGCCAGGCTCGAAATGGGGGACGTCTTGAGGAAGAAATTCAAAGTGGGACCATTTTTCAACGTTGCTCAGCAACACTTGAAGGCAAAACCGTGGATGACCCAACGGTTCCGCAGAAGCCTGGTCCAACCCAAGAGGCCAGTTTGGATGCTCACAAGGTGTGAATTGGGGTTTGGCACAAGCCAGCCTAGCAGGCCTTCATGGGAACAATGCTCACTCGCGCGTGCCCGTGCAACCAGCCTCCTGTAACTCAAGAGAAGTCTCCGGTCGAATTCAATGATCGGGCGGTGAACCCGACGGCATCCGACACGTCGCCGTGCGAGATGCTGCAGACGCCTGAGCCGTCCGCTTCAGTCTTTGGCGGAACGCGAAGGAGCACCGCAAAAAAACGCACGCAGGCGTAAGCCTTGGCTTCGGATGGAAACCTTGGAAGGGAAGGGAAGGGAAAGGCTGTTCCGCTTCTGTGTTCTGCTTAGACACGGCCCCCCCTGGCCTCCAGGCCTCCGAGTCTCTGGTTGGGAAGCGTCTGCAAGAGCAGAGAGTGAGAGGGAGAGGAGGGAGCTCTCTGCCTTGCAAGCGGCGCCGGTGCGCCTTGCTGCCTCAGGACTTGAACCGGAAGGCCGAGGCCCTCTTTCTGTTTGAAGGGTTTAGGGCAAGCTCTGTTTTAACTCGCACTGTGTCAGGCTCCGTGGTGAGCACCTGTTACAGCTTTGTACAGAAGCGTCCGCGTGGATGCACTAGAACTGCATTGCTTTAAGATTCAGTAGTTGCTGTGTCACTGTGGTAGACCTGGAACGGGACTCCCGGGAGACATTTTCTTTCCCGTCATTGGGAGATTGAGGGGCAGGAGTCAACGAGTCAATGTGCTGACACAGTACGTGCTCAGACCACGTTCCGACACCCAACTCAAAGCTTTTCGACCTGCTCTTCGGGGGAGCAGCTTCGCTAACAAGCCCAGTGGATGCGCAGAACACCGAAGAGCAGGTGATGCTTGCTATGGACATCGCGCCACACTGGCGGAGTCCTGCACTGTTTCAGCCAGGCCTTACCAGGTCTGAGCCTTTCACCGAGCTGTCCAAGCTCGCGGGCAGTGTCATGCCTGGGTCGGCAACATAGACAGCAGGGATCACCAGGGTTCCGAGGGCGTCGGACCTTGGCTGTGCTAGCTCAGTAATGCACAACTTGACATGCAGCTGGGCACCATGGATTGACACAGTGAACAGTGCTCTAGCGCAGCATGCCTGCCGACCTGTCTTCCTGACTGCCTACTTGCCTGACTGCCTGCGATCGGCATGGCTGCGTCTCTGCCTGTATGCTTACCTTCATACCTACCTGCCTGTCTACCTGCCTAACTATCCAGCCACAGTACCTGCCTTCTTACCGACGGATGCTCGCACACCTGCACCACTGATCACTACATACCTGTACAGCACTTCTTACCTCCCGATCTACATGCATAGTCCCACGTCAAGGATTGTGCAGTGATGTCAAGGCAGAATGTGTCGTGCAAGTGCGATTGAAGGTATTCCACCCCATGCTATGTCCCTCGTACCACGTGATTCGTGCCAAATGTGCGCATGCATGAATGGACGAGTCTATGCTTGCACATCTACATATGCACGGAGGTATGCATGTGCACCTGTGTGCAAGCGCGAGCGTGGTTACCTGTACGAAGGCGGGGGGGGGCATGCAAACAAGCAGGCAGGTAGGCAGCTGGGGAGGTCGGGTAGGGAGGGAGGCAGGTAGTAGGCAGGTAGGTAGGCATGTACTTATGTACGCACGCACTTACCAGTGAACATGCCAGCATCAAAGTTGTGCGAGAAGCTCACAAGTATACGTGGGTGCATGCATAGCACCTCAGTTCTGGCATAGCTTCGTGAGCAAATCCCTTGCACAATGACATGAGGGGCAGGAGAATCAAGGCTGAGCACGACCCAGGAAGGCAGCATCTCGAACAGCACACTTCATCGGGATCACAGAGTGTCACGGATCTGACAGGGCCCTGAGAATCCGAAGCGGGCTGCGCACATTGGTTAACGCCGTGTATCCTTGTATTCATGGACCCTGTGAGCTCTGTGGATATACATTTTCGCTCCCTCGTGGCTGCCGCATGCAGACTTTTCAGACCTATCTGACTGCCCAGAAAAAGGTTGCTCGCTGGCTCATTGCCGAACAGTGCTTGCACCGAGACTTCAGCTGAAGCCTTAAGCTTCTGCCAGGCAAAAAATCACGATCTGAGCGGTGCCTTTTCCTTATTCGGCTCCGCGTTCGTGGTGGTGACTCACGTGGTCGCAAAGGCGGAGGCCTGTGTCCCCGCAAGTGAGAAGTTCTAAAGATGAGTTAAACAAGGATATAATGCCGTTCATGTAGTTGTTTTTCTTGACCCACGTGAAACATATATATAGTTTCGAAGTCGCCAGGATTTCAGAACCTGTCCCTGGACGTTTCAAAGAGATGTCAGGGGTAGACCATTGGCCCTAAGGTCACCTGCAAGGTCGTGTGCTTCCCCCCGTGCTTATCGGGGCGTGGATGTGGCAAAGGGGCTGACCGGAGCCAACTCCCGATTCAGAAAAACTGAGAGTCTGGGCTAAGACGACGCAAATCTCAATGTTGTTCGAAGAGAAGAGCTTGGCCAACGGGAGCTGCACAAAAGCTCATGCAGCCGCCCTGCTGCCGACAATTTTCAAGGATTTCCCACGTTCCGTGTCGCTGAACCATGCAGTCCCCAAACCCTCCGAGGGTGCCTACATCATCCTATGCCTATGCTAGATTAAGAAGCAATAGATTCGACTCGAAGGCTATCCTCGGGCGTTTGCTCGGGGCTTCATGGCTTGAGCTAGCTGGAGAAGATTGACATGGAAGGTCGCCAAGAATGCTCCCACAATCGCAAACCTGCAGTGACGTAAGTCGATTCCACCGACCTTCGTTGTGACTCTTTGCAAGGCTTGGGCAGAGAAGCGTGCTTCAAGACTCCCATACTCCTGCCGCCGATTAGACATGCTCTCCGAGACAATGTGGAACAGCTGATGGTTGCTAGGTCTGACTGAAGGCTAGAATGTCAAGAGGCGGCAGCTATAGTTCGGGAGTGTAGCATGTTTCGTCAGACTTCGTCACGCTTATGGTCCAGTAGGTGCAGGAGTCGCCAAGGCTCAAAGAGACCGTTGGCAGGACCTGAAGCCTGGACTTTTAGAAGCCGCGTTAACTCCAGCTCAGAAATTTCAGATGTAAGTCAAAGACCCAGTCGTTTTGAAGTTTCGTGTGTGCTCAACAAGGATCGTTCTACAAATGGAGGAGTGGCAAGCCACGCTCATCAAACCAAGTTGGTTTTGTTAAGTTGTGTGCAGTTGGCTTTGTGAGCTTCGTTTATGACGAAGTATCACGGGCACAGATGCTAACCGCACCGTGCACCACAGCCAAGAACACCTCAGCTGGTCGTCATTGGAGGCTGGTGAAGCTCTGTTCCTCGGGCTCGGCACTTCCTCGCAGAGCTGTGACTAGATCGTCAGATCGGTAAGGGTTCAAGGGTTCGCTGATAGGCAACCTGCATCGTGAATTTGAGATTCGTGCTCGTGTTTTCGCCGAATCCAGACAGAGGAAGCTCAGAGCTCTGGATGCGCAAGTTGAGGGTCGTGTGTGGCCAGCACGCCCTCTCGAAGTCCCGCCGGCGCTGGATCCTGCTCCGCTCTCATCACATCCTATGAACCGCTAAGAGCAGGAGACGTGCAGGCCCGAAGTGTTGCGCGTGTGGCCCTTGTAGGGGCATCCTCAACTTCTCGCTGCGGAAGTTGCAGTCTGGGGAAAGTGCAAGACTTGTTACTGCTTTTTGGGAGTGAGAAGGAGTGGACTACAGGAGCACGACTTGTGATGTCAAAGCGTGCACCCTTTTGCATGGTAGTTATGGGTCGTGCGCAGCTTCATGGCGGATGTTGAAATCACAATCCGTATCTTTCGTAAGTGTTCGGCGGTTCTTTCGGCACTACGGAGGCGGAGGGTAATCTTCGTATCCACGATATTACATTCTTGTCCATTGCGAGCAGGGTCATTGTTGCGACTATGTTGAATGTCCTGGTGACTCGTGCGTGAACTGCGGTGGCCCAACTCCCAACGCCAGCTTGGCTTCCAATTGACCTACCATTGTTGAAGACGGGGGGCCGCCCTTCTTCAGAAAACGGCAGCTCAATATCTTCGATGGCGTCTATGCTGGGTGTTAGCAGCTGTGGCTCTCTGGTGCGGGCGAAGTGATCAGACTGCAGCAACTTGACTAGGAACCTATCCAGGGATGAACTCATGTGATGGATACTACCTAGAAGTCCATGAAAGGACTGCGACCTTGCCCTGGTCAGATCATGCGTCCGTGAGCAGAGAAGTAGGCTCTCCTGATCACCTTTGTCAGCATGAAGGTTGTTCAGAAGAGATGTGGCATCAGCTTGACCTGAGCTCGAACTCGTGTTCTGTTAGAAGAGGGGGCGGGCAACACAACTCTTCCGTGCCAGCTCAAGCCGAGCTTATGCCTGCAGAATCTGATGCGCAGCACTGACCCGCGCTGTGCAGGCAGACTTCTGCCAGCTTGGCTGCTTTCACGTCACAGGATGTGATTGGGCCTCGTCCTGCCTTGGCAGGACCCACCGTGCATGTAAAGCGTGAAAGGTGAGAGGCGGCCGTGTCAGGCAAAGGCCACCCGCCGAAGCGATGCATCGGGCCTCGAGAAAACCTGAAGCATTGCGGGTGAGTCTGCCTTCACTCCGCTTGACAGTTTAACAGTTCGGCATCCCACCCCGGATGGCCCGAGGGCCAGTCTTCCTACGTCACGTTCAACAGGCAAGTGCCCGCGATTGGGACAGGATGCTGTGTTTTCATTTGTTACTCGGCAGTTGCGCTGATCATTTCCTTCTTTCATTTGGGCCGGGGATGAGTCGTGTCCGACAATAGACAAGGGCTCTGCTCTGGCAAAGGTGCCTGTAGGTCGTCAGCGACAGCGTTAAGCATACTGCTACTTCAAGGAGTTCAGCAACCAGCCCAAATGCATGTGACTCGAGCTCACAAACACGTGAGTAAGAGCTGGAAGATTCGACAGCGGGAATTGCAGCGCATGGACATTTCGTGGAAAAGGGGATGAGGCTTGTTGCTCCCGGCCAGTGCTGCCAGTGAAGAAGTGTTACTTTTTTGCAGAGGCTCTGCCGCGGACAGCTCGGCTCCAGCTTAACCCGAATGCGTAGGCAGAGGCACAGAACAGTCCCATCACAGCACAGCCAGCATCTACAACGCCCGTCTACTCGCACGAGGTCATGTCATAATGATGTTTGAAGGAGTTTCGGCTGGAGATCGGGCAGGTGGGTTATATCCCACCCGCGGCTGAGGCGTGCGGCCTCCCGGCCTTCGGCATCCGCCATGGCATCAATTCTTCTCGCTTTAGGTCGGGACCTGGGCCCACTATGCCTTCTCGTCCTGACGGCGATCGTCTGGAAGAGGAACTTTTACATGCGTGGCTTGACCTATCGAGCATCTGTAGTACCAGCAGGCCGGGAAAAGATCATGAAATCGATCTTTTACATTGGCTTGCTCGGGAGCTTTGACGCCGCTTTAAGGCGGATTGGTCAACTCTTCCTTGTTTTTCCTAAGACCGAGCGCTCGGCGTTCTTGCTGCGCCTGCTCTGTCTTCATGTGCCCTGGGCCATTTGGGCCCTCCGTGGCCCTCTGAGTGAGCGCGGTTCCACCCGCGATGATCGCGGCTGGTCGGACACCGTGACACGCTCGCGGCTCTGGCGCATCATCTCCGCGGCTTTCGGCCACGCACAAATCGTCCTCTCCGAGGAGTGGAGGCAGCTGAGCCCCAGCGAGATCCGGCACTGGATGGACAGGCATTATGCCAGGGGCTCATTGGTCTCATTGGTCCATGCAATCCACATCTCAGACCCATGCCACCAGATTCAAAATCTCTTGAGGTCATCGGGATGCATCCTCATGGCCTGCTGCCCGTTGGTGCCATCCTGGCCGGGCTGACTTGGGCACCTCGTCGGCATGGAGGGTCAGGGTCAATCCCAACTTAGCCTTTCCAGTTTACGCTGTCCTCACTATCCTGCACGCAGTCTTGCTGCAACCCGATCTGCGAATTGCTACTTGCGAGCGTAGGAACAGCGCACAAGCCACAGCCCCTGAGGCGGGGGGCGGCCTCCGTGGCCGCACAGCTTCCGGAGTGGAATTGCCCGAGCCGGCACGCCCGGGGTCACAAGGGATGCTGGCTGGGCATGGGTTTGACGTCGCCAGAGGGTCTTGCACAGAATTGTCAGAAAGCCTTGGTGAATGTAGTGGCGCAGGAGAACGGAGGTGAACTTCTGCATCAGCGATGGTTCAGGCCTGCATTCTCGAAGCTTGGATCGTGCGAATCGGCACCTCTCAGCATACCCTTGTCAGGCAAATGAAGCTTCGTGCGGCCGTTGCGTCTATGTCTCTGAGATTGCGATCATCGGAAGTCACTGTACAGAGGGCTTTTTAACCTCAGGTCTGGAGCCTGCGGACTGTTCCCAGGATTCTACGAGATGTTCACCACCCTGGGCTTGGGCCGCAAGCATCGCAGGCGCAATCTCAATGTGTCTCGGCAGTCGCTGAGGTGCCTTTGAATGCACCAAGCCCTTTATCCGCGACCGCCTCCGGGCTGGGCGCGACGTCGCCATCTTCGTGGGCGGAGCGCAGGAGAGACCTCTCTCCGCCTCTCATTCGCTCTCTCTCTCTCTCTCTCCCCTCTCAGATCCGGCGACTGAGAATGATGGTTCGACCAGCCAGCTCCTGGACGCAAGGAGAGTGCCTATGCGACTCCAGGGCGCTACGTGTGTTACGTCAAGTGCCACAAAGGTCAGGCCGAGAAAGTTGTCTGGATCTTGTCTGACATTTCGGGTTCGATTCTTTCAACTGTCTGACTCGGATGCCAGGATTTGTGCGGCTTGCCCTCGAGGAGCGGAGGGACATCCTTCCAATGCAGGGGCCTCCTGGAGTTAGTTCCTCCAGAGGCAACGGGAGTCAGCTTTCTGAGGTGGACTTTCGGCGATGAGTCCATTATTCCTCAGGTCAGGAACCCGTGGCCCACCCAGTTTGATTTCCTCGCGTGGCACATCCGACACCGCGTGTGCCGATGTTCCATCTAGGCCTGCATGGCTCACGCGGTTGCAGCAGCTGTTCAAGAGCATCACCGGGCTCTTAGCGGCTCGACGGCTCGACTTTGATGTCGGAGATTCTGCGAGCCTGCGCGATGATGAAAGGTACCTCCCGGGTTCGCCGGGATTCCGCAACTGCCACCGTTGACCATGGTGACAGGCGGGGTAGTGGGGACTGCACTGGAAGGCTTGTTTAGGCAATGTAGCATCCGATGCTCAGCTTGCAGGAGTTCCGGTATCGTTGGAGGAGCGGCACTTCAACCTTTGTGCTCTGTGTTGTGCGGGGTTCACGACACGACTTCAGAAGCTTGGAACATAAACGTAAGTGGCATTGTAGCACCTGCACGGAGATGCTTCCTAATCCCACGCGAAAACAAAACGATTGTTTCGTGTCCCGCAGCTTTGACCAGCCGCACCACACTGCTGTTTCAACAGAGTCTTGATCTTGACTGTTCTGGCAGGATTTATGGGCGAAAGAGGTTGGTGGTGAGGTTTCTGACGAAGCCGTGGAGGAGGACGGCCATGAAGCTGAGTGTCAAAGCGTGCGGAGTCCAGGAAGAGTGGATGCAGCTAGCCTGTTCATTTCGAAGAATTTCCAGCGTTGGATCTCGAAGTCTTGTTCACGGCCCATGTCTGCAGGGCCATCGTCGGTACATGGAGGCTGACTCCAGAAGACCAAGGGCTGCATCTAGCGCAAGAGTGATTGCCCCCTCAAGCTAACCCTCAACACTTGCCTCCTTCCAGGCGCAGCGCAAGTTGTTCGACAGCAACAAGGCCGCCTGGCTGCAAGACTTCAAGACGAGTCGCATCGTCAGCCGCGAATTTCCGGGCAATAGAGTTTTCGCATGTTGAGAACATGAGGGAGTGGCGAATGGGCAGCGATATCCATTTTCAGAGACTCATGCTTGGGATCGTGCGGTTGTCGGGGTCGGTACTAGCATTTGACCAAGCTTTTCGTTGGGCACCTTGACGCTTTGTTAGTCTCGGGCCAAGTAGGTGCTCCTGAAACGCTGCGTGGAAAGCATGGGACACTTCGGTTGAATGTTCAAACAAGAATTCCGGGGTACGTCCACTCATCTGTGTCTGTATTGTTTGCAGAGTGATGGTAAAGATGCACTCAGGTTTGGTCCATGACCGGGGGCCTATCGGGAGTCCCTCCAGTCCCTCAAGACATCACAGACATGGTCTCAAGAGCATTCAGAGTTTTGTCTGAGTTGAGGCACTGGTGCGTGGCGGCCACGAGAAGGGGGTCATTGAGTTTATTTGAGTGCCGAATGAAAAAATGCAAAAAGAGGCTTCAGTGTTTTTGCTTCCTCATGCTACTGCCCAGGTTGTCAGACGAGAGAGATTGGCTGGTGAAAGTTACATGTTCCAGGGAATTGTCGGATGCCGGACTTGCTGCTCTCGGCTCCACAACGCAGCTCCTTGGCCCTGCGGCTGGCAGGCCACCCTAAGAGCCTTCCAGAGTTGCTACCGCAAGGCTGCAGGAAGACAGGTCTGAAGCTTCATGGCCCACCAAGTCCAGGCAGGTAGAAGATGTGGAAGGCATTGAGTCTAAGAGCTGATTATCCTTAACAAGGCTCCGGCTCCTGGCTACTAAACTTGCCCCCACGAGCAGAGTCAGGCGCGCATGGCCACGTGACGCCGCGCACTTAGCTGACGTGACTGGACAGTTTCGGTTTCGGTTCTTCTCGCAGTCGTGTCTGGCTTGCTTGTGTTCCCCGTTGCTGTGAGCCGGCACCTGCTCGTGAATGCACTCACGCTATCTCACGCTGCAGAGGCCTTGGGCACACGTGGTTCAGGCACGCTTTGCTAGCCTTGCGAACGATGTTGGCAGTGACCAAGATCACTGCCCATGCTGCTTCCGGAAGTCATAACATGTGCTTGTTGTATCAGGGGCAGATGCTCCGTCTTGTGCTCAGCGTCGGATCTGTGGTGGTCGGCGAAATGAGTCGCTAGCACGTCGGATGCAATCTACCAAGGCGATGGTGCCACTGCAGCCAATGATGCGAGGTGGCAGCGGGCTTCCAGGACGCTGCTTCAGTGATGCGAGGACTTTTGGAGCTGGCTAGATCGGAAATGTAGATAGTCAGGTAGTACCTCCTGCCGATCTTTCGTGCACAAGCTGCTGTTAGGGCATTTCTGTTGGCGGTGATTTGAACGAGTCTTGAGCGACGAAGCCTCCATCCGTGTAAAACAACAAGTTCGGCAGCTCCAAAGACCATGCTTGGCTCTGAACGCCCTCTGCCTGTCGCAGTTTTGGCGCGCAGCGGGGAGCAGCTCAGCCACAGGTTCTTTGGATGTTGAGTCGGGGTCATCGCGAGTGCCAGCAAGCAAAGCTGCCAGGTACCGGGACTTCTGGTACCAAGGCAGCAGTCCGGGCTTGAGACTCCGCCAGTTCAGTGGTTACGAATGGTTACGGGTTCGTTGTACCTTTTCGGGCTCCAGCTGTCTTGTCTGCGTGCTCCAAACCAGTGCATTGCTTGGTGTGCCAGTGCCTTCTGTTTGTCGGAGTGACTTGAATGCATCAAGCCTTCAAGCGTGCGACTGAGGTTGTTACTAGCTGAGCTGCTGCGGCCTGCGGCCCAATGGCCTCACAGTCATCATACGTCACATGATCTCAGAGCTAGCCATTCACAGCGCATCCGAACTTGTACAGAAGCCATGGGGCTCACTTAGCTCATGCCGCGACACGAGCAGTGGACCTTCGATGTCAACGGACTGCGAATTGTGATAAGCCAGAACAACATTGTCGCCTGGCGACCTTCCGTGGACATGCAAAGTGCCATCGTGAATGCAGCAAACGAGGAGTTGTTGGGTGCTGTTGGTGATGACGAGGATTATGGTGACTGAAGTCGTCGAGCATATTTTTGCTTGGGAGTTTCCGTAGAGTACTCTGTGTAGGAGCACAGTCACAACTTGTTCGAAAGTGAGAGTGAGAGGTGATGACTTTGGTGGCGGTGGGGTTGATGCTGCTCTTCACCGAGTCGCTGGACCAGAGCTAAGACGCCTATGCGCCAGCTTGCCGGAGATAAGCCCAGGGGTGCGATGTCCAACCGGTGAAGCAAGGATCACAGCTGGCGCCGACTTGCATGTCGGGCATGTGATTCATGCTGTGGCTCCAGTCTTTCCGGCCCATGCACCTGAAGAGGCAAGAAAGCTCTTGGAGCAAGCATTTCTGTCTGCCTTGCGACTTGCCGAGCAGTATGCGATTCAAGCCGTGGCCATCCCCGCCCTGGGCTGTGGGCTCTTTGGCTGCCCTGTGGAACTTGGGGCGCGAGCCGCCATCGAAGCTTGCAGACTTTTCTCACAGACGGAGAAGGGGCGGCCACCAGAGGTTCACTTCGTGCTGTACAAGACCTCGGAGCTGAATGCTTGGCTGAGGGCCGCGCGGGAGGCTGTTGGCGCAAGCAAGACACCGACGTCGTAGCATCACAGACACCACTCCCATCACTCACCATTGCGAGAGAGAGCGACTGATAAGCTCAGAGCTGGTCACAAGCACCACTGCAGCGCGGCTTCTGAGGGCGAAACGAATCCTGAACTCGAACGTCTTGCATAGAGAGATCTGAGACTTGAAGCATGCAGCCGAAGGCCAACGTATAGGAGGTGCGGCTCCGTGCAGAACACAAGCCCTGCCCATCCACATCTACATGCCCAGGGTTGTCTGTTGGTCGAGCCAAATCTTCTTGAGGCAAGAAAAAGATCAGGCTTTCCGCGTGGTCAAAATCTGCACGGTTGTTTTGCCGTCCACGATGTTCGCAAAACTGAGCCGACCGACACCAAGGCCGTGTGCGCCTTCGAGCCAGCAAGTGACCGACCAGCGCAATCTCGAAAGGCGAGGCGATGTCCTAAGCATGAAGCCGATGAAGCCGACCTGATGCAGGGGCTGCAGCCTGTTCCTTGCGAGCTTCGAGCTTCGAACAACGCTGCAGGCTCCTGAACACCCTGCTTCAGGAAGATGCTGAGGCCGGGGAACCAGAATCCTTTGAGCGCATCTTCGGGCGAGCCCAGCACCATCCACCTGCTCAGGCACATCCCACGCCGAGAAGCGCTAGAGAGCGCCCCCAAACGCAGAGGCCTGCTCGGATTGAGAAATACGGGGGCAACTTCAACAGCCGGGGAAGCTGCTGTTCCTTGTAGCCTCAAGGGGTCAATCTCGCTGCCTGAGGGTGCATGCACCGAAAGGCATTTCGAGTGCATTCTGCAGATGCCGTAGTGGGCAGAAGCGCGAGAAGCGCGGAAAGAAGCAGCGAAAGCCTTGCAAGCTGCATGTCCATTCTGCAAAAGCCGGCGTCTCTGTGTGCATTCGGTGATTATCAGCTAAACAAGCCGATCAGTCCCATGGCTACCCCATGGGATTGGATCCAATGGGTAGCCAGCAGGAGGTTCCTGCTGGAAACAGCACGAGAGCAAGCTTCAACATGCAGCGAGAATGAGAAGCATTCGTATCACGGACAGCAGGAGGAAGTTCCGTGCTACTATCATCACTGTCAGTCTGTGCGAAGGAAGACGCTGTGACAGAGTCGGCAGGCGAGGAGCCCCGCTCTACTGTATGCCAGGTGGGAACCTTGCTACGCTGGTCGGAGGCCTTCACAGCATGTACTGCGTGAGCCTTACAATCCACCGTTGATTCTCAAGATTCCGGTTGCTGTCGCATGGCCTGATATGAACTGCAAGTAGTCAAGTAGTCAACTCATTTTGGGCGAGACCTGGTCCGATCACTGCTTCTGCTTCGTCGTTGCAGGCCGGATGGCGAGCCACATACCTCGGCGAACCAGCTGAAGTATGGTTCGTCAGAGGCCATGAGTTGCAGCTCGTGCACCATTTTTTCTCACCAGCATCAGATGATCCAACATGCGGCTTGCGTGACGACTCGCAGGCAGACACCGCTGCTGCCTTGGAGCTAGATGCGCTGATCAAGGTGCCTGTGAAAACGCCGGGCCGGCCGAGCCCAGAAACCGGTGCCATGGACGCAGGCGCGAGACTGGAAGCAGGTTCAGAAGAAGATCAAGGGGATCAGCTCTCGGACTCCGACTGGGTGCGCAGTGTCACCGCGTCTCCTCGCTCAGCTGCCACTCAGGAAGGTGTGGAAGCTTAGCTGCTCAAAAGCAGGCTCGGAGCAGCTGCAGCAGGCCTGGGACGCGACAGCGATGGGAGATGCTGTCACTGTCATTTCTGGCAGTTGCTCGTGTCTGGGGGGCACGTGAAGAGCGGTGGTGCCAAGGAGCCGGGATTTTGCAGCTTTTCGCTTGGTGTGCGCATAATGTTCAGACAGAGTAGGTTGCCTCGGAGTCGGAGGCAACTTTCTAGAATTCGACGGACCTTGCGCAGAGTTGCTTGCCATGATGCATGTTGGCCATGATGTAAGTGGGGCAGTGATGCTAGGACTGGAACGCCGCTGTTGAGACTGACCTTGCCTCAGCCTCTCAAAGCCCTTCCCACGGATACTCGCATAACACAGTGTTCATGTGCCTGCTCCCTGGACAACTATCAGGTGATCTCAGAGCTGCGCACGCATGTTATGGAGGCTCTCGCAGCCAGGCTTTTGGCGACATGAACCTTTGATCGTCTTCGTTGAGGCGTTTTTCACCAAGCCGAATTTCTCCAACTATGTTCTGCAAGCTTGCATCCAGGCGCTTCCCATAGATTCATTGAGTCTGCAGCAACTCGTGATCTTCAAGGCTCTGTCGCCGGAGCGCTTCAAGTTTATCCTCGAGGAGTTCATGTGGCGTGAGCTTCGGGAACTTCGGGATACGACCGCGCTTTCTTTGTTGGGTTCTGCTGCCTTGCTGTGAGCAGGAGCTGAAGGATCGCGTTCCACAGGCATGGGACGCTATCGCGGAGGGGTGCAGTGGTTCCACTCCTGCAGGTGATAGTTGTGAGGATGTTTGAATTTGCTCGCTCGCCCCCATTGCTTTGATCTGCCCGGATCCCCGGTCTTCAGCGCCAGCACAGCAGTTTGTTGATGGCGTTCACATATGCTCACACGTTTCTGTCGACGTCTATAGTCAGCAGCCGCTAGCCCGAACGGCACGAGAAACGCACCAGGGTCTAATCGTGTCGAAGTTTGTGCAGGTGGCTATGGATGCCCAAGGCTGCCGTGTCGCTTGGCCTGTAGTGGTGATATGACTTGTGTGATAGCATGCCGTTGAAGTGCGGAGTTGGATGCCTGCACCGCGACTGTACGTACAAGGTGATGCAGCGAATCATCGAACACGTGGGAGACAAGAACGAGCATACTTTGCACCGTGACTGAGGAAGCTAGCTGTGGCCCACAGTGTTCCCGGAGATGGGCGTCATGGTGTGTTTCGAGGCAGCTCCTCCAGCAAATCCTTCCGAGACTGCGTGAGTCTGCTGCCCAGCAGAGGGCACTCGGGAGGTCTGCGAGTCTACGACCGTGATGAGTCTTCCGAGAAACATGCCCTAGCCAAGGGTCGCAATGAACCGGTATGGGAATCATGTCGCGCAGACCTTAAATTCAATATCTGCTTCCTTTCCGAAGATATAGAAACGGAGCGACCCAGTCACACTCCATTGAAAGGTGCAGAAATTTCTGGAGCAAGATGCTGAGCCTTTTCATGCATGCCTGAGACTGCGGACCATGTGTTACAATAGGCTTTCTCTTGCCGAAGGATGGCTTCTCAAAGCCAAAGGGACCTAATTGCACAGGAGATCCGTCCGCTTGAGCCGACTTTTCAATGCCCCTTCCGGTCGGCCGACAGGAGCTGCTGCGGCTAGTCCAAGATAACAGAGAGGTCCTCTTCGAGATGGCGAACAGCAAGCCTGGCACTTGCTGTCCTGAGATATGAGCGACTCGCATCCTTGCCGGGCCAAACTCCTCAGGTTCGCCAGCCACGTTCTTGAAAAAGCAATGGCCCGCATCTGAAAGAAACGCCGGCGTATGCTGAAAACTAGATGGCGCGGGTGGCATCGCAAATCTTCCAGCTCCTGCTACCACCTATGCTAGCAATCTCGCCTAGGGTGTTCAAGTGAAGGTATGCAGAGCTGTTTTGTCCAGGCCAATGCTTCCGCAGAACTGCAGGAAAGCTTTCTCTGCATTTTGGTGCGGACCTTGTTCTTTGCGAGTGGACACCACCAGAGTTGATTGCAGCTGTATGCACCTGTATGTGCCTGTGTCACGCAGTCTGCTTGCGTTTTGTTGGATTGATGGCTCGCCGTCGAAGCTAACAGTCAATGCTTCACTGAAGTAAGGGACAAAGCAGCCAAGAACGACACACCAAGAGCTATCGGTACCGTGTGCGTTTTTGGGAACGCGCGAACCGACGCGACCCAGTATCCACGAAGCCGAACAACAAGTACTGCTAAACTGCCATATACCTAACTTCATCCTAATTAAGATCTAATTAAGTCACTGCTAACCGACCAAAGCCACAGTATGATGCTGCATGAAGCCACGTGGAGTCCCACATTCACAGACAGGGGACACCATGTGAGCTTGAACCAGTCTGCCTGCTGAGGAGACGGAGTTGCACACGAGAGTTGACAGGCGGAAGCTGAAGAAGAAAAAGCCGGCACCTCGTTGTAGCATCCGAGTGCCATCTGGGTGATTGGGCTGTGGAAGTTGCAGCGTTTCATCGGCCTGAGGTTTGGGAGCTTCGTTTGGCGCTCGTGTCTTCGTGTCCGTGCCCAGTGGGACAGCAGCCCAAAGGCGCGGGACACGGGCACGCTGCACCGGGCAGCTGAGCGTCGAGATGGGTCGATGCGTCTGAAGGCATCCTCGTCCTCATCGTGTCCGTCCCCTGCGTGGAGACCTTATTTGGGCCCAATAAGTATCTGTCATCTAGTCGTTATTTTGGTACTGGAGCAGTGCGTATGCAGATGTGCCTTGAAGCCAGCATGCTGTCGAGCCCCAGCCTCCCGCCAGTTCTTGTAGGCCTTTGGTGCGTGTCGTTTCCAGGCATCCGGGAGGTAGGAATGCCACAGGCAATAAAAGCTCCGCGGTCTGAATTCCCAGTTGTCGTGTTTCGCTGCCGCCAGCGAGGCCTTTCACCCCTAACGGCTTCGCATACGAAGGCACCGTTGTGCGCTTGTGCGTAATGTGTGTAGGGGGAGTGGTCCTGATTTTCAAACGAACCTCCACGCGCAACGTGTTACACGTTGCCTTTAGACTTTAGTCTGTTGCAACCGTGTCTGGAAGCACTTGATCAGGGCTACAACCGACAACCTACCAGGCTGTGAGCTCAGCTCAACTGCATCGCTGTTTTTACGAAGGTCCTTTGCTTGCGCCATCTACCCTCATTTTCCGCTGGCTGTCAAGTCGATCAACTAAGTAAGCTTGCAGTTGTTCTGTTGTTCTTCATCTTGCTTTGCTTTGCCTTGGTGGAGCAGCTGCTCAATTTAGATTTTGCAGCAAACGAGGTCTTTACAGGTTCTCCCCAAGCATCGTCTTGGCCAGGGCCACAGAAGGCAGAGGATGCTGCAGAGATACATGTCTCTTAGTGGCAAGGTGTCCCGTTCTCGTGCCCGCCGTTTGCCCCGTCAACCTTTCCTACCAACAAGCAGAGCTTCCGCCTCATCACTGTCCGGCATGCCTTGCACAATCCTGAAGACACACATGCAATCTCAACTGCTCAGGGGCATGTCGTTTGCGACGTTCGGGGGTCAGCCAGTCCGCAGTTGAGGCAAGGATTTGAAGCGCCTTTCGCTGAAGAGTCCTGCGAGATCTGCAATCTGTGTGGACGCTGCGGCGATGCCACTGCCAGGCGTGTAGCAACGCCTCCCATAGATGCCAAGGAGCTTAATTAAAGGCCTGGCGTGCTGAATGCTTTAATCTATCTGGGAAAACTTTGCTGTCGTGATGCTGAGTGGTTGTCGGATTTGGAAGCCCACAACTTCACGACATGCCGGATGCGTGGTCCACCATCACTCGTGGAGACTATGCCAACATGTTCCTGGCAGGCCTTTTCGACGGGCATTGGTGCTGGAGGGGTGGCCTAGCGGTGCGGGTCTCGAATTTGTTTGATGCAAGGCGTCGAGCTTGCGGGGAGCGTTCCAACTTGTGTAACCAGGTGGCCAGGGCTCTGTGTTCTCCCTGGTGCTCTCAGGTGCCTCTTCGTGCCGATGTCAGTCAAGGCACTTCGTGTGACCCGAGCTTTCGAGCTGGGCGTCTGACGGCAGAGCAAACTGGGTTCAGCAGACTTCAACTGATTGTCTAAGTCCAAGCCGTCGTGCGTCTGACGGGGATGAGGGGCGAAATGCGACACTTGGGGCTCCGGCGACCTTGCGATGGAAGCCCGGGCCACTTTGGCGTCGCACGGACCAGTGCAGGCTTCTTGGAGTTTACGAGGGCATCATCCGTACTATTTCTACCCTCACCGCGAAGCATTAAGAAGTCAGAAATGCATGATCTTTGCCTGAGCTTCGCGGCATGGAGGGTAGGACACCTCGTTCAATCCGTGATGAAAGCACTGCACCTCTCTTGGAATTTGTTCCCTCGGGCAGCATTGCTGTCGGCGTGTGAACACATGCGGCTCCAGTTGCCCCCAAAGTCCACTCTTTGACCCTTGTCCCCGGAGCTCTTTGCACATCTCAGCCTGGAGTGGACTTAAGACAGCTGTACACCACAAGTAGAAGTAAGCCTTACTCGCAGCTCTGGCGTCCACTCAGGGCGAATCTTTCTCAGATGGACCAGCCGTTGGTATATCAGAGAAGATATACAAGATAGAGGTTCATGCAAATCCTTCGTTGCTGGACCATCTTTTCCGACTCGGGTTTCACTCAGAGGTTCCTGCCGTGGTCACTGCTGATTCGGCTTCCAGTCGGCTTAGATTGCCACGGCGGGATCACCTCAGCGGATGAACTTGTGTGCAGGCAACCACTAGGTAGTCGAGTTGAATGAACGCACACCATATTCAGACACATTCCCGCGAGTTTGCAAGCGGGCAAGGTGGGCTTCATCCGTAAGAAGTTTCTGTAAAGTTTTGAGTTTTCATGCCATTTCCATGAGGGACCAGCGCTCATCTCATGGAGCACAACCTGCAATGTTGAACGCTGCGGGACCTGTACACCCCATACGAGGATCGCTGTCTGCTCGAACCAGAATAAATTGTCGTCAATAGATCCTCATCCTCCACAGGGCGAGATTCGTCGCTCCGAACTTCAGCGTACATCTTGTGCTATGTTAGCATCGTGACAACATGCGAAGTGTGAGCATCTTCGAAGGAGTACTCCTCATGTTGGCACTCTGATTTGGCACGTTTTGTGCTGCATTCAGCTGATGCCCAGTGTCGCAGCAGGCAGAGTTCCCGTTGGGGTGATTGTGCACCCGGGGTTGGGCTGGCAATCTTCCGGATAATGTTGAAGCCACATAAATGTTTGCATTCGCGCAGCCTTACTTGATAAATCCACCCCGGGGTGCCAGCCGTGTTCATCACTTGTCGTTGCTTGTCCAGTGAACCAGAAAGAGTCTTGACTTGATTGCAGCATCTGTAGAAGAAGTGCGACAAGCATCCTCTGCATATCGACTTGCTGCAGAGGAGCCAGGCGGCAACTGTTTCGTTAATTTCGATGGCGCAGCACTTGCTCCGAGCCCCCAGCCTGAGCTGAAACCCGAGAGGAACCCAGCATTAAAAGGCTGCCCCCGGGCAAGTGAGCTGAAGTACTTCTCCTCGGGCCTCGTTTCCTTTGGCTGGATCTGGGAAGACTCACTCAGCAGCATGTCACACCTCATCGAACACGTCCAACACTTCTCGAACTGCTGAAGGCCAAAGCACGGCATGCTGTAGACTTTTCGAACCTAGTTCGTCCAGCAACAATACGGCCAGAACGCATCATTTGAGAAGTGAGCAAGCCTGCAGCCCTCGCTGCACCGCACCTGCAGACGGTGATACGTCTGTTCCTCTAGTAGACCTTCTCGTAGTCCGAAGAGCCTTCCGATCCAGTCCGAGTGAAGAGAGTGAGTCTGAACTTGGTCTAATGCTTCGACAAACGCCAACGCGACCAGCAAGAGCTTCACATCGTCACAAGTTCAGGCAAAATCCGAGCTTTCCAAGTTCAAGCGAAGTGCAGTTCCTTGAGTTTGCCTGTATCCTGGAAGGGAGCACTTTGAGCCACTTCGGAGACGATTTCTGGCTTGATTGAGAGAGACTGTCGGCTTGATATACGATTCCCGGTCTTGCAAATCTAGATTCGCTGCGGGTTGCGTTGAAGTTCTGAATGAAGCAGAGAGTATCGGGCGCACAGCCTAATGACTGTCATGCAGCAGCCAGAGGCTCTCAGACAAGTGCTAGCACTTGCCAGTCGTGTGTGGCGAAGGCCTCTTCCAGAATGCAGGCTTGCCTTTGCCTGCTCTTCAAATTGAGCGGGCACGAGCAAGCTTTGTGAGAAAATAAGCGCAATTCGCATTCGCATCTGGCGGCGGGCTTTCTGGGTCTTGGCCAGGATGCTTCGACCATCTCGGTGTTTTTCATAATTCGGGAGCTTTCTTGGATTTGGTGGCAGAGTTCGGTGGTCGAGGCAGCTGGCCTTGGGTGCAGTGTCCGTAAGCGGCCGCTGATGTCAGCATCGCCATCGGCTTTCTCAATCGTTGTTTCCACCTGTGCAGTAACCATGCTACACGTGGCACCCGCAGTTCTTCATCTTTCGTGTCTAGTGAAGATGCTGTGGACACAGTCCGCTTTTGTTGTAAACAGGCATGTTTCGAAACTGTAAGGTTTTGCCGCCTCGCCCGCTTGACGAACAGATCAGGAATGTTCAGGGACAGCATGTCTTGGTGTCGTGCATGGAGTATACTGAGCAGAGCCTGGAATCCGCCAGTTTTCTGGCAGTGGAGTCGCATCGTGGTATCTGAGAAGTGATGACGATGAGAACGTCAGATGTGTTGGAGAGCTGAACATTCGTTTCCGAACTGCTAAGCAATGTGGCAAAAGCTTTTATTGCCTGCCACAGCAAAGCGCTTGCAACACCCTTACTGTGGTTTGAGAGCGGTAGCTTGGGCACTACTCGCGAATGTCGCACTTCCATGTTGCATACAGCCACGAAGCCTTGCTAAGCTCTCAGCCGCCAAAAGTGTCAACCTGAACAGTCAGGGGTGGAGAAGCCGGCGGCCGCACAAAGCCATGCAAAGGTTTCGTAAGTTTGTGTGCTCTCCTCCCTGGGGACGGTTCGGGTAGAAGGCTGCACGGTACCGGTACAGGCGCCTCTGGTGCCGGGCGCAAAAGCCTCCCTTTGGCCCCGTTTTGGATCCTGGACTGCTTCCGGCCCACCTAGACCATGCAACACAGATCTGAAACTGAGCACGAGCAGTTTTGAGCTTTCCTCCAAACCCATAGTTTCGTGGATGATTTCGCATCTGCCCTAGGAGTCCAGGATTGGCAGGCGGCCAAGCGCGATAGGTGATACGAGCTGAGCTGCCGACCCAGAAATCCTGCAGCCTCCAGGCTTGACCAGGTCCTGAGCAAGCATCCTTCAGAAGCAGCAAAGCAACACTCAGCGTAAAGTGCATGTGCAAGCGGTGCAGCGGACACGTTGCCGAGATCTTTGTGATGAAGTCCACACGAGTCACACTAACTCTCACTCGTCTTACGCGGCTTTAGGCAGCGCTCGTACACCTGAAGTCCTCTGCAAGGAGATGGTGTAGTTTTGGGGATCCGTATCTCGTGGCAGAGGCATGGACTTATCGAAAACTCGCGCATGCCATTGCTGGCACCCCCAGACAACAGCACCATGCAGAAAGGCCATCCTGGCAAGCGCGAGTTTCTGATAGGCTGAGCGGCTCAGTTTGCGAGCCTTCAGGGGAAGGAGGGGCATGCTGTCCGACCGTCGCTTGTGCGCTCAGACCCTTTTTGTGCTTCAAATCCTCGCTCTTTCTATCCGAAAGCATGTTCTGACCCCTATGTCAAGCGTTTGTGTGGGTATCAGGTCGGCCGGAAGCTGCACCCACGCAGCCCACCATTGAACAGTGTACAGCCTGGCTGCCAATGTTGACGTGTTGTCCTGGTGATTGGTGTTCGGAGAAATCTTGTCGATAGCTCCAATGCAGGCCAGTCGGCCAGTCTTCTCATGTTTAGATGCTTTGCATGAATACGCCAACAGAATTAGTGAGCGCGCCTCCTTGGCTCTTTGGCTCTGTGGATCGATGTTCCAGCTTGTCATCTGCGGAATGTGCTGTGATGCGTCGTGCTCATGCAGTCAATCATGTAACAGTCAATGCAAAACTTCATCGTATGCGAAAGGCACCTTCTCGATCCATGCAGAAGCGAACACCTCCCAGGTTCAAAGAGCTGTGTGGCACTCGTTGCCAGGTAAGAGGCTTGCTCGGAAGCATCGTAAGGGGAAAAGTCGCTTTCTTGCCCTGTCGCAAATCTTTTGCTTGCTGTGCGTCCCGTATGTTCTGGATGCACCCGAAGTGCTCTTACTCTGTAGCCAGCCGGCTCAACCTGGGGCAACAACCCCCGCCCACTCCTTGCCCGAAGGCCCGAATTCGGGCAAATCGGGCAATCCAAACGCCCAGTTCTGGGCTTCCGCCTGATGCCCGGTTCTATGGCACGTCTTAGTCGTCTTAGTCTCAATGTCATGTCATGCAAGTTGCCTGAGTGCCGGCACTTCAGGGTGCCACCTGCCTGCAGAGTGCCTGTCGATTCTGAGGAGAACGAACAGATTCGGCACGGAACCTACTCGTAGCTTTGTCAGTCCAATCAGGCGCTATGTGATCTTGCAGGCAGGAGCAAGACAAAGCCATTCAGGGGGTTTACAGTGCAACTTTAAGACTTCCCCATGCTGCAGAGTGCAGGCCGCCATGCCAAGCACTGCAGATGTCACGAGTAGAAGGAGGATCGGCAGTATCGGTTTGCTATGTTGTGAAAGGCGCACAACCGGCGACTGCCACCTTTCATACAACTTCACTGACATCCAACCAGTTAGTCAGCTTGACGGCCGAGGTTTGGACATGTATGGCTGATCTGCCATGTTTTGACATGCTCCCGAGACTCGAACATCAAGCGTGCAAAGTGAAGGTGAAAGGACTATGCGGCAGTTGCAGCAGCAGTAAAAGAGGAAGAAGAAGAATAAGTAGTAGTAGTAGTAGTAGTAGTAGTAGTAGTAGTAGTAGTAGTAGTAGTAGTAGTAGTAGTAGTAGTAGTAGTAGTAGTAGTAGCAGCAGTGGTGGGAGCAGCAGCAGTAGCAACTGCAGCAGCAAGGAGTGGGAGTAGGACCAAGGTGTGGTCGCCGTAGCAGCAGGAGGAGGCAGAGGAGTAGCGGTAGTAGTAGTAGTCGTAGTAGTAGTAATAGTAGTAGTAGTAGTAGTAGTAGTAGTAGTAGTAGTAGTAGTAGTAGCTGCAGCTGTAGCTGTAACAGTAGGAGTAGGAGCAGGTGCAGGAGTAGGTGTACTGTAGGTGCAGGTGCAGGTGAAGCAGTAGGAGTAGGAGTAGGAGTAGGAGTAGGAAATTGAGTAGGTGTCGGTGTAGGTGTAGGAGTAGAAGCAGCAGCGGTAGTCGCAGCAGCAGCATTAGCGCCAGCAGCAGTACCAATTCAGTGGCAACCTCGGGTGGTCCTGGGTGGAGTGGTCTACAGTCCACAGTATGACTGGTGGTGGTATTGAAGAAGACGTGGTCGGTGTCGGTCGGCATCTTCGTCGCCGCCACAACAGGAGTCATTGAATCATTTGCATCCCGGTGTCGAGAGCTTCGCCATGCTTCGCCAGGTTATGGCTCGGGGCAGTACCAGCAGGCCTGATATCTGGCATGAAGAGGAATCTAAATGCTTCCAGTCGCCGGCACAACTCAAACGCTTCTTGCTGCGCTTTGCAAAATCCTCCTGGGTCTCCGCACCAGGCATATGGCAGCCTGCCTGGTCCCACCAAGCCAAGAACTCAGCTTCTACTTCGACATTGATTGAAGATCATGAGATGCAAGCGCTCTCTGTTGCAGCTCCTAGGCGTCAGCCGAAGGTAACTTTGCCTTTTCAGGGGGCCATGTGCCCAGTTGCAGAGGTGCATAGAGATGCCCGCTGTGGCGGCCTTGGACATGCATGTCGAAGAAGAGCAGCTTCTTGACCTTTTGCAAGGCTCATAGTTGTGGCCATTCTGTGCAGACTGGTCGTGCACGCGAGGTTTGTTGCAGACGACAGCATAAGAACTGTCCACAATATTGAGGTGCAGCCCTGCAAGAGCTGAAGAAATGAGAGATAATGATCGAAGACTCCGGATGGATGTAGTCATCCGGATTCGCAATTATGTCCGGAAGATAGCCGGCACAGCCGAAGTGGCAGAAAGTCAAGCGAGGTGTTCCTGTGCTGGTTCATCCCTAGCGTCGTCTTTGCAGCAGCCTCTCTTCTGCACGAAGGTTCTGACGCTGCCGGATGTTTTTAAGGCCTAGACATTGCAATCGATTGTCATCTTTGGTAACAGGGACGTCGGAGTCAGACCGTGAGACTGGGGACTGGGTGGGAGGAAGTCCATTGATTTTGGTCACCAAGGCATCTGGCCTGGCGCGGGGACCCTAAGCCTGTGAAGAGCTGCAGAGGGACAGCATCCAAAGAAGCTGGTGACAACGTCCACGAGGTCGGAGCTGTGACTCAAGTGCTGTCCAGGTCTTCCAGTTTGGAAACCTATTACCCCATCATTGTCTATGCAGCTTTTGCCCAGCTCTCAGTATCCCATCCGCGGCGTCGCGGACGTTAAAAATGCAAAAGTGTGACAAACGACAACAGTAGACTTCCCCATCGGCACTCCGCCCGACATCCCACGCTCCCTATTTACCGAGACGCTCCTCGGGCTGGGCTACCTCCTCTGCCTGCACGTCATCTCCCTCATGCTGCGGAGGCCCAGTCTTGCCATGCCGGTAGACACAGGAGCCATCCTCATCATGCTCTCGGGTATGGCTTCGTTGACAGTGCATGGTTCGTCAGGGACACGCTTCTGACTGGAGAGGTACTTGGCAGGGCGCACGCTGGACACTTATGTCTTGAAGCGGCCTTCACATTGAGGGTGAGGGCCGTTGTATCATTTCCTGCCCACCGCCTTGATGGTTGCCAAAACGCTTTTTTGCAATGTCCACCTACGGTGAGCGCCAATCGCCATGACGCCAAGCTCTGCCAAGGACTGTGTTTCCCTTCTGGTACATCTTCCTAGCCGCTGGGAGTCGGTTCAGAGCAGAAGCAGAACGTCCGGTCATCTAAGCAATTGCTTCGATAGTTGGATAGTTGTACAGTATTGTACAGGCTGAGGATCGAAGTTGCTGTTGCCGAGCCTTTCGAAGAACAGCGCAGCACAGAACTGATTTGCTTCGCAAAATGCACGAGGGTGTTGCGCTGTCAGTGGCGCTGGTCCTTTCCGTGTGCTTTGCGCGCTTGCTGCTCGATGGCAGCGAGTTGCTTCGGTGTAGAACGCGAATTATGTCCAGTTTGGCCTAGGTTCGGCACTCGTTGGAGATGCCCTTGTTTCTTGCTCTCCTGGTTGGTTTTGCTGTACCTGTGTAACATCGAGAAGTCTCCCGAAACTAGATCTGATGATCTGAGGAACTATTCCAAAAACATGCTGGCGCAGGGGGTCCCAGGTTTTAACAGTTTCACCGTGCACTTCATTCTCGGCTCGGACAGAGACACGGCACGGTGCCCAACATTTGCCGGAGGTCTGAAACGCTGCATCGGTTGGCTATGGCATCCAATGTCGTGGGGACCTTGCTACTGGTAGCCTACACACAGGCTCGAAGAGTCTGGTTTCTGGAATTTGTTAAATCGCATGCTCCTAGGATCCAGCTACCGACTCAAGTAGCCGATACTTGGACATCGGCCGCCGCATCCTTGGACTGGCTTGGCTCTGTGACATGATTCAATGATGCTCCGCTTGGGTGAGGCGTAGAATTTGCACCGGGTGCACAAATCGACGTTGGCAAGTACATAGGCCAGCGCCTGGCTAGCTGATTTTGCATTGCCACACCAAGGAGCACGAGGGTTCAAAGTTCAAACGTGGAGTTGAGCAACTGCTGCCCAAGATTCCATTGTATGTTTGCAGGTTTCAAGAACAGCGATCTCTACTGTGTAGCGCCCATCACCAACAAGAATGCCACCAAAGCAGCTCAGCTCACATGGAGCGTTTCGCGGTATATCGAGGCATGTTTGGGCAGATCGTTTTCAGGGCAAGACTGTGGGAATTGCCACATGGACAGACCTGCAAGAAGCACACAACCGCCTGTTTACAAGCTGAGGCCCCGGCCAGCTACGACTATTGGGCTGTCGGTCTTAATTGCTGGTGCAAGCCCAAGCAAGCTCCACCAGTGAGCAAGAGGAGTGACTGATACAGTCGGGCGTGACTGGCAGATCACAATGCAGGGTGGTGGAGTGTCTTGCCGTCTAGCCTAGTGCAGTTTCGCTTACCTTCTGCGCCCAGTGACCAAAACGGCTTCCGCTGCGGGGAGTACGACAAGCCGTCGGCGTTGGAGACCTCAGCTCAAGCTGCGAAGCTGACAGTTTGGGACCGCGGCAAAAGCCACGGCTGCAGGCGAAGTGGCGTCCGGCTGCTGAACGAGGATAGCTTGCGGAGTTTAAGCATTGGCCTTCTTCTCGTCCGAGACGTGAAGACCGATTTACGAAGACTGGGTATAACAGTTGCGAGACAGAACTTCAAGGTGGAAACTACTCAGCACTGTGTCCTCCTCGCTGACATCGCAGGAACAGCGGCAGTTCTATGTCCTGGCAGTGAAGGAGGCTGAGGCCGTTCTCTGCACGCTGCATGTGGGCACTGCCAGGATCACACATGTCGCTAACTTCGGCTTGCAGAATGTTGGAGTCTTGGCCAGGCCACTTTCGGCATCACAGCTACGACACCCCTGTTCTTCTTCTGGGTAGAGGTGCGTGCAGAACAATCCTGACAGGGTTAAGCGACTGCACTCTGCTTCTGCGCTTGGATGGGCAGTAGTTTATGCGTTCATGGCAAGCCAAAAGCCAATTCTATTGCGATGTGGCTGCGAGGACGCCAATGCCCTCCAAAAATCCTGGAAGGACTCTCAAGCTTGAGTCGGTGGTTCTTGGCTCGTCATCGAGTGAACTCTCTGGACCGCATGTGTATGTGTACATATCATATCTATATATGCAATTAACGTATGTGTAGTCTACGTCTTGGACTTGACAAGTACAAGGCCATGCGGCCTCCTCGCTCGATTCATTCGAAGGTTGGATTGGGCAGCGAGGGAATCTAGGGTGTACAAAGTAGGATTTAGCTGCGACTCGGAATGGAAGAACTTTCTACTGGCTCCAGGACAAAGCGATGCAGTACTGGCTGCTGGCCTGCCTCACCTTCACCGCCTTCATGTTTGTTGCCACTGCCTTCGGCTTGGTCACGGGGTCGGTTAATCCGTTGCAGGATGCCTATATACGGCAAACCTGCTGCACGAACCGACGGTGCATGAGTCTTTGGACTCAGGTGGCTGGGGTCGTGTACTTTGAGTCCTTCTACGTGACCTTCTGGTGACGTGCCACCGCTGTGATATCGGCAAAATGGTGGAATTATCTGCGTCGCTTGAGGACCTTTGTCCAGTCATGTCTCTAGAGCATGTTGCAACCGCACGCGGATGTGATGGGCCACCCCGAGTTTTTTGTATGCGGTGGGTTTCTGTCGCAGATGGTAACCATGGGGGCTGCTCAAGGCTCGACATGGTCAAAATTGAGAAGACAACTGGTCTGGCTACTCGTAGCATGCGTCGAAGCTCTGGAGAAAGCAAGACAAAAGCCCCCACTGCCGACTCATGCACGCACATGTACATGTTCCGAAAATGAAGAAGCAATTTCAGTTTGTTCTGTGTAGGTGACTTTTGAGTATTCTCGCAGTCATGCACGCATAAATACATATAGGTGCTCGCACATCGATCCACTTGACATATACGCTGCCTGCGCGGCAGATGATGGGGCGGCTGCATGGCATCTTGACTTTACCATCTCCCTGCCAGCGAGTGACAATTTGCAGGGTTTTTCTAGTATCTGGATCCTGTGGTCTTGGTGCTGTTCTTTCGGCTCCTCGGCATCGGCGTCGTAGAGAACAGGTTCTTCACGGAGGAACCAACAGCCTTGGACAGTTTTTTTACCCCCCGAACATACTACAGCACTGCACATGCGCTGCCCCACATCATAACGCTTTTGATCGACAAAGACAAAAATTCCTTGCAGTATTGTGTACCGATGGACTTGGTATGAGCCAACATGCACCAAACTTTTGAAGTCCACCAGGCAAGAACGCTGCGGCTTAAGCACACGTGCACTCGGCTAGACGAAGGCACCTCGCCCGCGATCTTCGCGGAGAGCCGTTTCGGAGAGGCAGAAATCCGGTGCTGGGGCATCCCGCTGGCAGATTGACGGCGCTTGTCTCAACGGCTGTACTATTTAATCGTGGCTACCCTAGCCTAGCCCATAACGTAGCCTCTTTGTGTACGAGGTTATGTGCTGATGGATGGGAGAATTCATTGCAGTACATGCAGCTAGCTGGCTATTTGGCGAGGGAATGTCGGGTCAGCAGCTCCGATGCATGAATCGGAGCACTGGCAGGGACACAGGGACACAGACCGACGCAGCGGCTAGGACCAGGATACACGTGCTGGGACTGAGTCAAGACTTTCTACAGCCCGTACCAGTAATCCAGCAGTGTTTCCGGAACCTCTGCCAAACAGCCCATGACATGGCTTGGTTATATTTTCGTTCTCTCGCAGGGCGCGAAAGCCAAGCGGTTGTGTGCAACCGAACGGCTCGGCGCTCGTCTGCTGATGCTGTTACTATGCTGTCGGGGCACGGCCAGCAAGGTGGCAGCCTTTCAGGAAGTGCAGCCGTCCTGAGCAGATCCATGACATCTGCTGAGCGATGTGTCTTTGACATCGCGTGCTGGTTTTGCGGGTTTGCCGGTCTGCAGCCATTCTAAAAGACTTCTTCGAACTTCACTTCAAAGCAACGCGAACGGTACATCCACGAGCTAAATTGGAAACCAATTTATAGTCAAAGGGATCTTTTACTTCCACATTCTAGGTTTGCAGGGGTGGACGGAGCAGAAAGCCCAAGCTGTGGATTTGGATGCCGTTGCTGCACCTCGAAGATGAAGAGGCAGCCCAGCCGTCTTCCTTTCGCTTCCTCGGTCCTGTCCTCTCCCGTCCGCGGTGAGGTGGGCGACCTCGTGACCCATCTCGTGGAGACCTTCCGAAAGGCGTCAAACGGCACCGTTTGCTAGTGTCGAGTTTTTCCGGGTAGTCCCGCTCCGCCGCGCATCCCCGGACTTTAGCAAGGCAATCACCTGACTTGGTCTTTGCAACAGTTGCTCACTTCCGACAGAGAACCTTGACCAACTCTGGGCAGGGGGTGAACAGTTTCATCGAAGAGCTTGATGCGAAGCTTCGGCATCCTGGTCGCAGAGATGGTAGATGTTAAGATTAAGGGCACGAGCATTTGTCGTGGCCACCGGCCCACCTTCGGCTGTCTACTTTGATCTCGTTGTCGCATTTCTTGACCCACGCAGAAGTGACAGCTGACCCGAGTTTCCGGACTGACTACACCCCAGACCAACAGCATTGACGGGTGTTGCTGTACAGCTCGAAGGTGATATGAGGTGATGCCGTAATGCTGACTGAGCTGGCATCTGTCCGTGCTGCACGCTGTGGCAGGTATGAGTTCGAAGCCCTGGAACGGAAGGAGGTCCAACTTCGCGTGGCGGCTTGGCGTGAGTTGACGGCAGCTGCGTACCAGCTCCAGACTTCCAGACATGTGGCACGATACAGGCCTCGAAGGCTTCCATGCAGCAATGACTGTTACTTGTAGTTCAGGAGAGACAAGCACTGGATGAGATGCGAAAGTGTCTGCGGCAGGACTGGTTCTTGGCAACAGCGAAGAGAGAAAGAGAGACTGACCTGCTTCTGGCGCCGTGCAAGCAAACAGAGAGAGAGATGCTCGTTTGGCTGTGTGGAAGACGAGAGAGAAAGAGACAGAGCGAGAGTCTTGAAAGCATGCCTTTCAGTGCGTTACTAACTTGCTTAGTTCAATCTTTACGGGGGTATGTTTCATTTGCATGTACAGTCTACTAAGCATGCTGGGATCCATGTCATGCTTGAGCAGCAAACTCCGTTCGTATCGACAACGCGGATGGTCCTGCGGTCCTGCCAATCAACTTTGTCACAACACAATGGCGCGCCTGCAGCGTGCATAGGACTCGCGAGGCCGCGAACTCAAGCACGTTTATTGAACTCCCTACCAGCTTTCGCTTACACGCCCCACCCGGGCCTGCTCCGTCCATCGGGCACCCTTCCTTTTCTACAGCTGAGCCCATCCGCCCAAGTGGGGTTGGGATTGCCAGCCAGTCATACCCCGAAACAAATCAAACCAAAGGAGAGGTAACGATTTTTGGCTCGCGGTACTTACATCGGGGAGGAGGACATCCGGATGTTCGAGTTTCTCGAACAAATGCTTGCTTGGCTGAAGGGACTTTGCCCCGGCACCTGGATGCCTTCAGCGTAAGCAACACCTAGTCCTTACTCAAGTGGTCTTCCTGGGGCGCCTGAGCCAAACCCGTCTTGGGCTCCGCGAATTCGACATCGTTTCTGCAGAAAAAAGTTTCGGAACACACCGTCTGTTTTGGTCCCTGGCTCCAACGCGAGCCTGCTCCGTTGTGCTCAGCTGCCTGCACTTCCCAAGAAAAGCGACGGGGGCACTCCATTTCGCGGCCTTTGCCCAGACGATGCCGGCCATTCTAGAGGTGTACGTCCGGGTACAAGCGACAAGTGACAGGATAGCCAGAGCAATGGGGCAGCACGAGGAGAAATGTGTGTGTACCAGTGCTTCAAACTTGGGCGAATACGCCCTCTCGGAACCATCGTGCCCATCTAAGCAAAGCCTGATCTGCGCAGGGTCCGACATGTCCCCGCAACTCTCGCATTGTTTACAGAAGCACTTGGTGTGGGGAACGAAAGTCTGCTTGACTACAGTGGTAAGTTACTGTCATTGTCTTGTTGCCTTCTCCTCAGGGCCGAAGCGGAAGCGTTCCATCAAGCATGCATTTCGCAAACCACAGAACCTGTGCAGCATGAGGAAGGTATGGAGGGTATGGAGCAGGGAAGGAGGAGACAATCAGAGAGGGAGGGGCGAGGGGGCCCCGCCAGCATCAGCAACACTCAGCCTGCCTTCAAAAGCCACCAAAATAGTTCTTTCCTTCAGTTGTTCACACGGTGTTGTGCGGATTTCAGTTCTCGTGATTGTCGTCGCAACACCGATCGACTTGCCACGTTTCTGCAGGAGCAAGATTCCTTAGAGGCGTGCAAGCACCGATACGGAACCAGGCACGGTGAGCCAGTCTGATTTTTTTGTGCTTGTACTTCTTTGTAGGCATGTGGACACTGCAAGAATCGTGGACACACAAGCCTTGCCAGGAAAAGCCAGAAACAGATGAGAGTTCGCTTCAATGACGAGGACGAGAAGCAGATCGTTGATCCGCAAATCGCATCCGACTTTCTGATCAACGAAGCTTGCTTACAATAAACGCAGCAGGGAAATCTATGTTTGTGTGTGTGTGTGTCGCTTCAGAGGCACCTGAACCTGAGCCCAGCCCGGGCGACGAAAGCGAAAGCCGCGAGGCTGGGCCGGGGGCCGGGGCCAGGGGCACACGAGGGTCTCTCGCCCTTGCCGGAAGATCCACAGTCACAGAACCCCACTTCGACATGACAGCGAACCTCCAGTTCCGCGACTAATGTCTCCACCCGCTGACATGTATCGACTTGCCCTCTGCCTCTCCTGAGACTTCTGAGAGGCTGGCCTGTTCCGTCGACACAGCCGCTTGGCAAGACACGTCATGAGGTGCCGACAGTCTGCAAGTGCAGCCTTGGCCGCAGGTCATCTGTCGAGCCTCCATCCATGGCCAGGAGACCCCAAGCCCGGCGAGACGGCAGCTCGCCTTGAGTTCAGCCGTGCGGCGAAACCTTCTGCGATAAGTGTTTCTTTTCATGATGGCGGCTGTCCTTTATGCCTTTGTGAGACTGCTGAGATTCGCATTGAGTTAGGCCAGCGTGTTCGAGAGCTCTTGAGGCAAGCGATTTTCGCGGCCAAACGCTGGAACCGTCATGTCCACATCATTCACATAAGGCATGCCTCCAGGTTTCTCAGAGTCGTTGGACTTGAGCTCAGGTCACCATTGCTGGGTGCCAGTATGCTGTTCTGCCTCTTGGCCATATCCCGCGGTTGAGAGATCGCAGCCTGCAACGTTGCTACAGCATTGCTGATCTCCATCGTGTCTGGGTGAAAAAAGTGTAGTACCAGGGCGGATAGCTTGGCCAAAAGACTTCCAAGGCCATCGACAAGCCCGGAAGATGAGGTTCGCTAGCCGCTGCCGGCAAAAAGGGGGCAGCCACGAGCAGACCATGCTGTACGCCTGTACGCCTGTACGCTGACCTGACCTCCGCTATCACTATTCCTATCTTCCATGCTCGCAGACGCGGCCGCGGCTCCGTGGCACCCTGATCTCAATACCCTGCGGTTGGTCCCTGCTGTCGACATCGGCCGCTCGGCTGTGGGCTGAACGAGGAGAATCGTCGAGCATATCGACGTAAGGTAGACGGCTTCGAGTACATTCTTCAGCAGCTGCAGCTTGGTCGGAACAGTGCCTCCCGTGCCCTCCCGCAGCGTGAGATTTGGGCGTTGAGGACAATGCACTGCTGGGGTACTCCGTTGATCGCCATCCAAAGCCAGAAGGCCATTGCTGCAAGACTTTTCGGGGCTTTACAAAGCTTCCACAGCACATCCCCCCTTTGCGAGTCTTACCAACAGCAAGTTGACCTCGTTTCACGCAGGTTTGCGGTGACATGCCACTTCTTTCGTTTACCAGGACCCTCAACTGTTCGACACCTTCCGGACGGCTCTTTCAACCAGCAGTCGAGCAGGATCGAGGTTTCTTGGCTAAGCAGGAGCCTTTTGCCGGAAGCATACTCGGAGCTATGTCGGCGGGCCTGAAACAGGTCACGAAAGTTGTCGGTTACCATTCACTTACGTCGTAGAGAATGAGGTCAAAATTGCGCGCAGGACCTTATCAGGTCCGTTCACAACCGTTAAAGGGGAGTCAGAGCCACTAAGCAGGGGCCCCCCTCCCCACCACCACTAAGTCCTGGCAACATTGTGAAAGGTGAGGCCCCCCCCACCTCAAGGTCTTGTTTAAGCCTAAGCAACATGGCAACTTGCGCTTTGTGCTCACGTGGTCGAGTGCGTCTACGTAGCAGGCTCACGTCTGACGCCTCAGTAATGAGCTAACCTGCCACCAGGACAGATCGAAACTGCTCGTAGATGGCCGAGTTATTGCTGACGCCGGGACACTCCGACGTGCAATGAGGTCAGGTCATATGAGGTCGGTCAAGGCACTACGATACGACGAAAGTATCTTTATGTGGGCCAGTGTCAAGGAGAATAATGCTATCATCTTGCAGGCTTAAGCTTCACGGCTTTACATTCGCGCTAGCATCCACGCTGCCCTGTCGACTTCGCTTTCTTTTTTGTAGCATCACGTCACTATTTCGCCTCCTGCGTCTCCGAGCGACGGCGCGGATTTGGGTGATTATCTCATTCTTAGCTGTTGTTTCTCTACAATCACATGGCGGTGCAGTTGCTGTTGCGAACATGTCACTGGCCGCCAACACAGTCTCTGTCAGCCTTGTTGCAGTCGCATAGCCTAGCTTTCGTAGCCCTCTCCTCAAGCCACCATACTCCCAGAATGGCGGCACTTCAGCAGTTTGGGGCTTGGACTGGGTGGCTTTCGGGGTTTGCCGTGGTGCTGGTATTCGTAACTAGTGTGAGATTAGGGCTGGGCGCAGGAACGAAGCTGGTACAGAAGCAGGGCATTACAGTTGCAACGACATGATGACTTGCTTCAATTGTAACGTGTCAGAGCTGCAGGAGCTTCGTTTCGAAGCTTAAAATGTGCAAGGCATACCGTACCTGCGGTAGCCCGTTGTCCGGAAGCTCGTCTTGCTATGGAAAATTCCTTTGCACGGCGGGATTCTGTGAACATGTTGATGCTGTTGCCATTGAGACGGGCCATCGGATTCCAACAGAGCAGAAGGTATCGTGCGGACTCACGCCACGCATCTCACGCATCTGTGACGCCGTCGCAGCGGCGAGGCGCTCAAGCGACTCGGCCCAGATTCGGAAAGGCAGCTTTTCAGTTTATCGGGAATGAATGCAAGACGTTCGAAATTAGCCAGGTTGTGATAAGTAGTACAGTAGGGTACCCCAGGAAATCCCACACACTGCTAATGTTTGAAGGAGGTCCAGGCGGCGGTAAAGTTCGGAACGACTGAGCGGAATTGCGCAGGATCGGCCGCACCTGCGACTGAACCACGAATTCGGTCGACTTGTAGCTTGGCTTGTTTTGTTTGTGGAGAAGTTTGCGGTGAATGCCGGACGGACATACCCGCATGTCTGCAAGGAATTTATCTACCGGTAGTGTACGCCAGACATACCATCCTAGACTCCTAGACCTCTCAGCCTTTGGATCCGGGAGTCGTCCCTGCTCAGGTGATCTGCAAGAGTATCAATGGGAGCAGCACAGCTGTCACGGAGACAGAATAACCCAAAAAGGTTTACTGTGTTCAGCCAACATGTGTTGAGAATGGCGATGGGTTGTAGGCGTACTACATCTCTTCAAATGTTGTAGTTTCTCAAGTGAGGCTCTCATCTTACATCTTTTTGCCTTTTGGCATTTGCCATTTTGTGATGACTTGACCGTCTACAATGACGCGAACAGCACTTCGCAGAAATCAGAGCCATCATCAGGGAAGCACCATTAGCACTGCAGCACGTGCTGATTACTTTTGGGAAGCACTGCATGCTGCCTATGCCGGCTGACTCGTCCGAACCGTTTAGTGCCCGCTGTCACCGTTTTCTACGTCTTCACGATCATTTGACGTTTAGACTCTTGATGCTTTCAGCTGGAGTGCCGATGGCCATCCGATGGAGACGCTGTCCGGTAAGGCAGTGCTGCCTTAACCTGAAGCATCGAAGCAGAACTTGTACTCTGGAAGTGTAGCCCTGTGACTGAACCCGGACTGTGGCAAGATGCCCGGCGGTGATGGAACGGGATGGGACGGGTCTCCATTCGGGTGCTTCCCTTCTGCTGCTAGCAGCCCATTTTTGGAAGGATGTCGAGGGGCCGGGGTGCGTGCCTGGATGACTTTTCTCGGCCGGAGCGCAAGCTCTGAGATTTCTTGTGGCCAGTTTCGTCCTCTCGAGGCACCACCTCCCCCACCAAGTAGCCTCAGCCGTGAGACTGCCTTCGTGACCTGTGCAAACCTCAGACATTTCGGCAAGCTCGCAAGGCTTTGTTTTGTATGGACGTCTGTGGAACCGCGGTTGGCTCAGGGACAGCCTTTGCTTGAAATCTGGCGATACTGGCCAAACATGCTTGTAACCAGCCACCCTAGCTACCCCTCGTGTATTGCTAGCCGAAGCTTTCCACAGTCGTTCTGCCCCAAAGAGAGGCTCGCATTGTGCCACAGGTCTTCAGAAAGCTTAGGACTTAGGAGCAGTGAGAGTCAACGGGCGAGTCTGGTGGAGATGCGACTGTTGTACCAGCCCGAAAAGTGACGATCCGCATCCGTTGCAGCCTTGTGGGCAGTGTCGGAGCATGAGCTGCAGCAACCAGGATCGTTTTGCGATAATCTCCGTCTGCAGAACAGAGCGGTAAGCATCCACATTGACCGGTCCCCATGGGGAAGAAACCAAGTCCGCGACAGCCGAAACACCAGAACCGCGATTGGAAGACTGATGCAGTTCGTGTGTGACCAGTCTGCGCATCCTTCGAGAGATCGAAGTCAAGACTGCCACCTTGCCAGCCCCCAGGAAGGCATTGAAGTGTCGCGATTGACGGGGTCGATGAAGCTAAACCAGACTCGAACATAAGGCATGAGGAATCGAGTTGCCCTATCTATGTGGCCAAGGCTGTGTCGTGTTTTAGTCTACAGAATCTGAATCGTTACGCTTCTGTGGAGAGGGGACTGGACAAAGGATGGCGAGCCACGGGGGACCAGAGCAGAAAAGAAATGTCTGGACAGCGCGGCCGGCGGCAGCGAGATTTGAGCTTTCGGAGCTCTTCTGCATGTGTTGGCACACGTAAGCACTAGCAGCACTAGCACCTCAATCATCTCCCCCGCTCTTGCTCTTTTGCTCTTGCTCTCTCCCTCTCGCCTTCGGTTATTCCATCACCGTGGTTTGTCATGTTCAGGAGCTTCTTGTGCGTTGCGAGCTGTGGTGAAGAGGGAGAGATCATCGAGATTCGAGCTCATGAGAGCACGAGGCCAAGAAGGGCGCTGCCGTCCGTCCAGGCAGATGCCTTAGCTGTGGGCGTGCAAGGCTGCATGCGGCAGGTGGTCTCAGCATGCCATTTTTCTTATATTTCTTCTGTTGTGCTGCCTGCAGTTGCATGCCGAGGCTGCTGGCAGCATCACAGCTGAAGCCTGAGCAAGGGAAGTTCGAGAAGCCGGCGAAGCCCGAGAAGGCACACGGGAAATCCGCTCGGGGCAGCTACTGTAGAGCTATTGAGGGTTCCGAGTTTGGCCGGCTGAACCCTTGACTACTCCCTCCCCCATTTGCTTCGTTGCCTGGCGCCTAGGAGACGAACACCTTCGGTCTGACCTGCAGACTAAAACTGCTTTACTGCAGGGCAGCAAAGATAGCAGGACTTATCGAGGTCAAGACAGAAAACACAACAACATCATGAGCGGATATGGGGGGGAGGGGTGGTCAGCGCTTCTCGCGGTGCCAATTAAGTGCCCGCAGCTTCCTTGGTAACTCCGCTCCACTTACAAGCACAGCTTGCTGGGTCGAGATTTCGTCGGCAAGAAGCAAGAAGCGTCGTTCCTTTGCCAGCACGAACAGCATGTGCAGAAGACCGAGCGGTTCCTCCAAGGATCAGTTGGGCTGCGTGTCCGAACGCTACACAACTAGCGCACCGAAAACAGAAGCCAGACCAGATGCAGGCTTCTCTTCAAGGCTGCTTGGCCGCGCGCGAGGCATTGCTGAAGCAGCGCCTGGCATTCTTTGCAGATGCTCAAGGCGCAGTTGGTAAAGGCATGCGTGGTGTTGCAGATTGGCTTCCTGTTGCTTCTTGCATGCAAGGGGGCAAGTTTGCGACGCTTTTGCTGCCTACTTCGAATGTTTGCAGACTACAGGATTGAGCTTCTGCCATCGCCCGCAACTCTTGTCGCCTATCGTCTTTGGCCATTTCAGGAAACGCAGTCCCGATGGCTGGACCACCCAATTGGTCGAACAGTCAACCCTGAGTTGTCTCGAGGCCGGCACCGTGCACTGAACCTGGCCTCTGCCGTGGCCTCTGAAGTCAGAGCGGGGCCGGGAGGCTGTCTGGTCAGGTCTGAGGAGTCGAGCCAGGTCCACTCCCGGATCTGAGATAGAGGTGCCCAGTTGGGTTTTCACAGATGGTGGCCTTGGCTAGCCACGTCACGTCTCACTGAGGCCACGGTGCAGGTGTGGAAACAAAATGTCGCCAGCAGGCGCCAGAGGCTCGTCAAAGGGTAGTGACACAGCTTATCAACTCGAGAACGGCCGACTTGGTTTTGGAATTGCAGATTCTGAGCCCTCTCCAGCACCAAACACATGAGGTCTTCTGGCAGCTCAGAGTGATGCAGCATTCTACAAGAAGCGTTCGGACCCGAAGGGGCACGCAAAGATGCTGCTATCAATGCTTGAGAACCGAAGATTCTTTGCAGGGATTTGCATGAAGGGCAATGCTAAGAGCACTCCTGATCAGGTCTCCAGGAAAAACGCGTCAGCGCCTGCCAGCAGGAGGGATTCTGCCGACTGGTGAGCAGCCTTTCTGACGATCCTGACATGTAAACTAAAAGCGCAACAACTCCGTGACAGAATAATCAACCCGATCCTCCTCATACGTAAACTACAGCGCTGAAGAAGCGCAACAAATCCATGACCCAACAATCAACCCGATCCTCGTCGCACGTAAACTAGCGCGCTGGAGAAGCGCAAAATCTCCATGACCTGACAGTATAAATCAGTATAAATATACCCTTCCCGCCTCGCAAACTAGTGCGCTGGAGAAGCGCAAAATTTTCTCCTCACATGTAAACTATAGTTATAGAGCGCTGAAGAAGCGCAGCATGCATGAGATCCTAATAGGTAGCTTGCGTGCCAGCGAAGTGCAACAACTTCATGACTCAACCCGATCCCAAACTAAGTCCAGGACCCATCAATCAACCCGATCTTCCTAAAATAGAACGCCGGAGAAGCGCAAAATCGCTCTGTCCCGACATTTTTCCCGATCCCCGTCACATGCAAACTAGAGCGCGGGATAAGTGCAACAATTCCTCCTAATGTGTGAACTAGAGCGCTGCAGAAGCGCAGCATGCATGAGATCCTCAACTCCATGATCCAACAATCCACCCGATATGTAAACGAAAGCGCTGGAGTTGCTCAGCAACTCCATGACCCAACAATCGCCTGATCCTCGCCACATGTAAACTAGCGCGCTGGAGAAGCGCAAAATCTCCATGACCTGACATTACTTATACCCGGGACTGCATGTAAACTAGTGTGCTGGAGAAGCGCAGCATTACGTGCTCACATGTAGACTAGAGAGGTATAGCTAGCATGCTGGAGAAGTGCGACAACTGCATGACTCAACCCGATCCCCTTCATGAACACAACAAGGCTAGAGCCCGGTTCTCCTGAACTAGAGCGCTGGAGAAGCGCAACATCTCCCTGGCCGTCCATGACCCGACATCACAACCGATCCCGTCACATGTAAACTAGAGCTGGAGAAGTGCCGCATGCATGATATCCTCCTCATATGTAACCAGAGCGCTGCAGAAGCACAACAACTCCATGACCCAACAATCCACCCCATCCTTACCACATGTAAACTAAATCGCTGGGCGCAGTAATGCCCTGAGCCAACCATGAACCAATACGAGTTTGAGCATATTTGCGTGTGTTGTGTTGCGAAAACACCAAGTCAGAAAGTACTTTGAACGTCTTCCCCGCGATGAGCAACAAACAGAAAGAAGTTTGAGCGTCTTTCGCGATTTGCATAACTCAATTTTCTTTCTAAGTTGTTTGTTTTCCCTGGCGGTGAAACCTCCTCCTGAAATGCAAACTAAAGTGCTGCAGAGGCCTCTGGGCGGGCTAGGCAGAAGGAAGGAACTGAAAATGCCGTAGTCCAGAGGCAGCGGCGCGGCGTTGGGCTTTCGAGGCGAGAGCCACAGCATGTCACAGCGTTTAACGAAAATTGAGGAGGGCGCTGGTCGTGCATGGGCTTTGGTCACCTTTGAGCCTTGGGTGACTTCCAGGCCGGAGCCTTGGCTGCGGCCTCTGGCACTGCACTCCGGTGCCGATGTCTGCTGGCGACTCAGCTGAAGTCCCACGTGGTTTGATCCGGACCAGAAGTACCATGGACTGAAACTCTCATCCGATCCGAACAAGAATTACATGGAATGTCCATTGGCTACCATCGATTTCCTTCCGTTCCTGCGATGGCCCACGGTTCATGAGGAGTTGCGGCTTCTAGCTTCTCGCTGCTTCAGGCAAGCTTGGCGGTCTCTAGCCCGAGCAAGGTTCCGGGATGTGACTGCAGAGGACGCTACCACGCTTTCTGAGGGTCGCGAATCGTGTCGGCGATCTTGAGGTTAGCTGAGTATGCGGTTTGCGTTTGGGGGGGGGGAAGCTGCACAGAGCAGGAGTACAGCTCGCTGCTGACAGCGCATCTTGAACATAACGAGCGCTGCCTGCGAGTTCTCGAGGTTGGCACTGGCACAAGTTGTGCATGCATGTGCATGCTTAAACTTGACGCCCTGGACACTGAAATAGAATCAATAGAAGGGACCATCGACCCACTGGCCCGACGGAAGAAGAGACCTCAAATAGGAACTCCTCATTGTGCCTTGCATTGTGCAGGCTTGGGCTGTGGGTTTGGAGGCCGGTAGAGCTCGACGCACGTCATCGATTCCGTAAATGCATGTGTCTCTCATGTCGTCTTGAGCGTACCTCTTTTTCCCTTTTCTTCTACAGCCAGTCTACAGCCGTTCAGGCGTTGGGGTCATGTTGATTGTGAAAGCGAGGGGCATCTTGCCTCGGAGTCATATGTGCCATCGAGTTGTCGGGCATCAGTTTCTGCATGTCGAGCAGTGGTAGTTGGAGCCGCAAGCGCGATAGAGCAGAGTAGCTACAGGAACTTAGACTCGTGCTACCTGCACATGTTGCAGCACATGAATGCATGTGTTTATTATCGCATGTTTTTTGCAGGTTTACAAAGCAAGGCATCTGCAGATGTGTGGAGCTTCTTGCCAGGCATCTCTTGTTCGAGTGTGCTTCAAAGCTTGGTCAAAGCAGCTTGTGCCTGAGAGTGCGGGAGTCTGCTTGTGACCAGCACAAGCGCCCGGTCTTTGGAGTCTTGGTCTTGGCACGTCTTGGTATTGCAAGGGAAAGACAAAGCTCAGCCGCAAGCGAGTGGACCTCAGTCCATTCCGCGTCCGAACGTCCTTTGTTTGACTCTCGGGCACCATTCTGGATGTACTTATCTGTATTGCTGGGAGGCGGCGTTCGCTTTCGAGCGGCGTCAAAAGCAAAGACGTCCCAGCCTTAGCCGACGACTGTGCGCGCATCTAGAAAGTTGGAGGTGTCACACCTGCTGAGACAAACACTTCTCATTTTATCTCATATCGCAGGAACTGCATGACAACGTTTGATCAAGGTCTTGTTGGGGTCCTGCAGAGTTGGGCCATTCGGGCGAACTTATCCTGCGACACGTGATCTGCAAGCGTACTGACACATCTCCAGCTGTGCTTCCGTCTTTGTCCCGAAACTGTCAGCCCGTCCCTCGACGCTGCAGCTTTGGCTTCCGGGGGGCATCGCAGCTGGGGAGAGCATCCAGGCACCTCTGCGCCCCTGCGAGTCGCGTCATCCCCGCCTTTGCCTTTGGAGGCGTTGCCGTGGCGACATGGGAAAGAAAAAGACGGAGCCCGAGGCCGAGCCGAAGAAGGCGCTGAGCGCATGAAAGGCATGAAAACGAAAGTGACTGCAGCTATCGCTTTCTCGCTTTCACTCTCTCGCGCGGTCGCAGGAGGAGGTGGAGGCAGCTCCGGAAGATCCGCCAATCATCAAGGAGTCTACGCTCGGACGTGGCGAGGCCAGTCGGATGATTCGCATACGCAGGAGTTGAAGGAGATCGATGACAAGTACTTGGCGGTCGAGCGAGAATACGAGAAAGCTGTTCAGGACGAATCTTCAGTGGTTTGAAGGAGGCCTCGATGCAAAAGGCGCTATGACGACCTAGGCCACCGGAGAAGTGTGTGAACACAGCAAGAGCTTGCTGCGCTTGTCCGAAGACTCACCGAGCTTATGGACTTGACTCGGTTCGGGCGTGGCAGTGTGCCAAGACGCGCAAGATGCATAAACATATTTGCAGCGAGTGATCCCACGATCGCAGGAGTTGCAAAAGCAGTACTCTGCAAAGCAGCAGCCCTTCATTGATCAGAGGACAGCCATGTATCGAAAGAGTGGCGTCGAAATGCAGTTGACAAGTCTCACTGCAAGCATTGCCAACCAGGACACAGATCCTAACAAACGCCGCAGCAGCCGATGGTGAGGAGGTGATCGGAAAGAGCAAAGGGTGTGGGCTGATTCCGTGAGTCGTGTTCGGATTGTGAGGCCAAGGCCTCCGGCACGCCCGCCTTGCGAGGCTTCTGGAAGGAGGCGAGCGTGCGAGTGTGATTCAACGGACCGTGCGACATGCACAGCTCTGAGGCGATGAAGCATCTCCCCGCCTTCGAGGAGCACATTGAGGCAACGGCAACCTTCGCGCACAGGTAGCATGCTTGAGCGTTCTGGGCTGGAGCGCACTTGTCCTCGAGCGATGTGCAGGAATGGGACGAGCCAGTGCTCGACTATTGTACCAGACTCAGCTGCCACGCCATGACATCCACAAATCAGTGCATTCCTCGCAAAAGCTTGTTTCGAGAGCTTGAGCGCTTGGCCCAGGCAAAGACATCACCAAAGCTTGGTTGGATGAAGCGGACCCTCTGCAGTGTTTGTACAAAGCAGAAGTTCAGGGTTGCTTGTCATTGTTGGGTTTGGGCCTCTCAATTGAAGAGTTGCTTCACATCTCGTACACTAATCTCTAGCTTTTGACAGAACCGAAAGCGGTTTTCTGAGTGGACGAGTGAAGCGGATCTGAAGACCTGGTAGAGGGTGCAAAAGAGTATGTTGCATATCCATTTTTGCAGGCATTAGCGAGTGAAAACAAAGGCGGCTTGGTGGCTGTAGCGATGACTGCCAGCAATTTGCAGGACATCTCCAAGGGGTTCAAGCTGATTTTCCATTTCGTGGAGAACCCTTACTTCACCAACACGGAGCTGTGGAAGGACGAAGAACTTTTAATGCTACGATGCTGGCGCTTTTGTCGTTGATGTCAACGTCAGGAGTACCATGTTGAAGAAGCCTCACCCTACACGGGCGAAGTCTCTGCCAAAGAGATCAAGGCCTCAGCTGCTCCGTGCTGCCTTTTGCAGCTTCAACATGTGTGCCGTGGAGGCTGCCGAGATTGACTGGAATGCAGGGAAGAATGTCACCGTGGAGAAGGCTCCTGCGTTTTCTTTTCCGATTCTCTGCCAATGTTCGCTACAGTGATCTCGGGTGCGGGATGTGCATACCATGCATGAAGCGATTCACCACTCGTGATGAGGTGACGAAGAAGGTGAAGGGAGGAGGTTGGCGTCTCAGTTCTTCACTTGTAATCACTGCACAATCACAACCGCAACTTCCAGAGGCTAGGACGCAGGAACCAACAGCCAGTGCCGTTGTTCTTGCTCGATGGCAACGCATCGTAAGGGTGCTCACTTCGGCCAACTCTTTCGCTACCGGTTGTGGTTGAAGGAGCGAAGAAGGCCAAGCAGAAGGGCAAGGACCCGACCAAGCGAGCGATGCAAGCGAAGTTTCCTTTGGTTCACTCCGCCTCACGAAATACTCGTGTCAGCTCATGCTCTCTTCGAGCACGCAGCGTTTCCCCCACAGCTATGTAAAGGCCGCCCATGGGACTGGCAGTCGGCAGGAGAAGGAGGAGCCGCGGGACTCCTTTTTCCGCGGATTCTTCCGTATGCGACTCAGTGCTGCAAGTTCCTGGAACAGCCTTTGCCTTGGCATTGTCAAGGAAATCTCAAAGAGGGAATGCCGATTCCAGATGTCGCGCACTTAGCCTTCATACGTCCAGTAACAAAACAGCTCTTCTGTGTGCCGACCATGAACAGGACACGTGCTGTGGAGCCTTACGATCTGTACATATCTGAAGGAATCTGGATGCAACTGGCTTAGCCGAGGATGTGAACCTCGAGGATGCACGAGGAATGATGGAGGCCTCCCGAATTCTCTGCCTTTGCAATGAAAATCTTGCCAGTCTTCAGGGGGTGCAACCAGAATCCAGACGCTTAGCACTGTGCCAGGATGACGATGACGACGATGACGACCAGATGATGGAGCTGCTCATGGATGCTTGGCTGTGTTTACTGCACCGGGAACTTGTTGTGGGTGTATCTTAAGCAAGCCTTCTTTCAACAGATGGAGCCTGAGGAAAACGACTACGAGATTGGCTGTTGTGTTGGCCACCCAGACAAGCATTGCTTCATGTTACATACCTGACGTGCCACTCCAGCTTTTATGTCGAAGAAAAGGTCAGGGACCAGCTCATTCCGTTTGCGGTACGCTGGTACACTGGAGAAGCGGCTCCCGAGGCAAGTCTGGTAGTCGCCCTGACGATAGTGTGGCCGTGTTGGTGGCGTGGGTCACGTTATTGGTGCTAGTAATTATCAGTGTCAGTGCTAGTATTCTGATTATGAGTAGTAGTGGTAGTTGTAGTGGCAGTGGCAGTGGCAGTGATAGTGGGAGTAGTGGTAGTAGTGGTAGTGGCAGTGGTACTGGTGGCAGTGATAGGGGTAGTGGTAGTGGTAGTCGTAGTGGTAGTAGTAGTCGTCGTAGTCGTAGTAGCCGTGGCAGTCGTAGTAGTCGTAGTAGTCGTAGCAGTCGTAGTAGTCGTAGTAGTCGCAGCAGTCGTAGTAGTCGCAATTGTACCAGCAAGTAGCAACACATTTAGTCGCAGCAGAGCAGCCAGTCATAGCAGTAGCAATGTTACTAGCGCAAAAGTACAAGTAACAGGACTACTCATAACCATAGGTATACTCTTGGTCTTCGTCTTAGTTCAATACAAGCCCTACTAGTCCTAGTCCTAGCCACAGTCATAGTCAATAGTCAAAACCAGTAGCGGTAGCAACAGCAAGTGTAAGTGCAGTTGTAAATTTGTTGGTCTAATTTAGCAATAGTAGCAATGTGCCAGTAGGAGGAAGAGGACCATCACGATGATCACTGTAAATGCTGCGCATTGTGCGCGTCGGCCCGGCCAGGTTGACAAGGGAACCTGAGGGGGGGGGAACCATTGTGAGCTCGTCAGTGCCTGGTGACAGGGTGATAAGAGAAGGAGGGGATGTGGGGTTGGGAACAAGGGATGCCCCGTGAAAACCTCTGACCGCTTCGGCCCAGGCGAGGTGAATTGTCAACATCACATGCATCCGACATGGATGACCTACTCGAATGCTGCGCTGGCAGGACCACGGGTATGACGAGGACGAAGAGGTTCGCAGCCGTTGCAATCAACACAAGCACATGTTTCGGACTTGTTCGCTCCAACGCTCAGGAGGACGAAGATGAGGACGAAGATGACGATGTGGTCACCTCGGTTTCAACTCTGCTTACAGTTGAGCAGCTTGTCAAGAGCGAGCACGCAGCCGTGGAACTTGAAGGACGAGGATGACGACGAGGATGAGGATGAACGCCCAAAGAAGGGATTCAAGCCGCCTGCAAGGAAGGCAGGCTCAAAGTGGTTAAGTTCGCTGAAGCACTCTGACAGTGTGCCCTCTTCATGTGTTAAGTTAAGCTCGAAGCCCGTGTCTCAATGTCTCGAGCTGGCAGCTCTTAACCTTAGTTAGCTATCGGTGTTAAAATACAACGTTGGCCAAAGTTCCCAGCACGAAAGTGCAAAGCAAAAAGTCCTTTGGCTGTGCTTTTCCACTGTCAGGGCAAGAAGGATGGGCCACCTGGAGAGGACCGACAGCACCCAGGCACTAGGTTCTTTTGAGGTTGAGCGTTGCACCTGAATGCCAGGGCAAGGAGGAGTGCAAGCAGCAGTAGGACTTCTTTGAGCGAGGCGGGTCGTGGCTGAAATCAGCTGGAACTCTGGCATGCGCGAGCCATCCTGATTCATTGCGCCGGGCAGTGCATGGGCATAGTGCGAACTAGAAACCTGTGAGTCGCAGCCAGTCCCATCAGTTTATGTTTTTGCACGGCAGGCCGTCTGGCCTTACCTTGTGAACCCGTTGGAGAGAGCTTGCCTGGTCCCGTCAGCTATCAGCTAGCACTATCTGGCCTTTGGGTCTACGGCTCTAGCTTTAAGTCGGTTTCCGTCCCTAGCAAGGCGTTGAGTATGACTTAGCTTCGGTTGAGGTTGACTTGATGGGATGCCACGTGGCGTAGCTTCTGCCCGGAAAGTGCGGCAACAGCCCGCTCCGGCCCCTACACTCGGGCCTCGTCAGTGCCACATCGTTGGCATCGCCTGCGGGGCGCCATGCGTAGCAGCGTAGGAAAACACAGTAACTCGCAGGCTGCGGAAGTATTTCACCCAAGATCGAAGGCGAGGATTCCTCAGTCATACTTCCGAGGCACGCAGAGCGCCATCACTGCAGCTGCATGCTGCTGCAAGTGAAGTAGGAGCGCAGAAATGGTCTTTACTGAGCAGTTAAGGCCATTGGTAGGCGAGCCAAGTGCGGTGCCACAGTACTTGATTGAGCCTGGCAACGCGTGCAGTAAGTGGCTCTGACTGCTAACTGATAACTCATGAACGCACACACCGCACACATTGGCTCTGATGCCGCTGAAGAGCGGATCTTTGCCTAGAAGTCTCTGTGACGCTGGCAGTTGGCAGTGGACAGAAGTGCTTGAAAGCAGATGCAACTCGAGTGTTGGGGTTGGTGAGTGAAGTCAGTGAAGTGATGGTTTCATGATTCTTTGCAGCGTTGGAGGTGGCGATAGGATGAGGCTCTGAGTGGCTTCCCCACCCCCGATGAGCCAGGCTCGGCTGTTGCTGAAACAGCGTGGCAGCGCACTACAGGACCTCTTGTTGTTCCGTGTCTTAAGTACGGAGATCAAGAACGACTGGGACTCGCATTAAATGTGAAGAATCAGCTTTTAGCAGAATCCCTCGTTTTGTTCATGCTTTCATAGGCAGACGATTCAGGAACATCGGCAGCTACTTAATTCCCTGCTGAATCCAACTGTTTAAGAGACCGCATAATGGCAGAGTCCGAAGCTCTGCGAAGCTCCGCAGAGGAGGCCAGCGCAAAAGCCCGGCGCCAGGCGAGGTTTGGCTTCGGTTTGACTGTGAGATGTGGAAGCGAGCCGACTCCAGGCCGTTGCCATTCTTCGATTCTGGCAATTGCAGGCACAAGTCGAGATCGCCAGGCCGCCCTCGGAAAATCCGTGCAGCCGTGCCGCATCGGGCCGGCCGTCGTCCTATCGCCAGGCGGTGCAGTAAGCGCAGAGCAGAGCGGGCGCCCGCGGAGTGCCATAGGGCCATGGCCCTGGTGCCAAACATGTCTGCAAAACAGGCTGCGACGCACTGCAACGCACTTCTATGATTCTATGCGCTTGTGCCCTGTCTAGTTTCGCTTCCAAGGCTGCCATCCTTTCATGCCGAGGCAAGCCGCTAAGCCTGCTGACATCTCTTGGGACTCATACTTAGACTGCTCCTGTCAAGTCGCGAGGTCGAATCCTCACACAACTCTGCATCATGGCCTGGCGGCTGCCAAGCACCGAGTCGTAAGATCGGCACGGCGTAATCGTGCACGACACAACAGTGAAGCTAGAAGTCTCCGCGGAATGCAGCATTGTGTTCGAGGTTTCATCGTGCCTTGCAGATGCACGGCGATGCAGAGGAGCCGGCAAGGAACTAAATTGGCAATTCCGCACGTTTCGTTAATTGACGCCAGCACGCACATACATATGTATGTATTTATGTAATAATGAAACTGTATGTATGTATGTATGTTCACAGTACACGGCTGAGCAGGCATGGCACTTAGGTGCCACCCACGTTCTAGCACCCCTCGGCCTGCCTTCCCTCGCTACGCTGTTGCATTTGGCACGCTTCCGGCAATTGCAGTCCTGTGTTGTTGTTGGGCATTTTCGAGTTTTGGGCCCTGGCACATGTGGAGGGAGCATGGCTAGCCTCCGTCCGCACCTCCTGGTTGGTTTGGATGCTCAAACTGCTTGGGCATAGTGGTGCTCCACCATGCTCAGTTTCCCGGGTCAGTGGAAATGCCTTGTCAGTAAGGCACAGCAATGTGCTGTGCGCAGAGAGACTTGGGCAGCCGCACTTGGGTACCAGCAGGCCAGCAGGCATCAGGGGCTTCTCGCCCGGCAACTTCAGTTTGCTGGTGGTATCCTGATTGGCAGCCGGCCGGAAGCCTGGGATGCCAGGTATTGTTGCGGCCCATGCAACAAGACATTCCCCACTTTGCAATCTGGGGCTGTGCATACCTTTAAAGTCCACGGTTGTCATGCTACTGGTCGTGGTGTTCGAACTGGCACAAGGTGCGAATGCTGTTGTAAGCACCTATCCCGCAGTGCGGATTGCAGGCATAGGCTTCAAGCCGCCGCGTATTGGTGCCAAATTGAGCCAGGACAGGGTAGCAATCGTGCTGAGGATGCCGTCAGGTGCCAAATGCCGTCGTCCGCGCCATGGCCCCGTGCTTCCCTTCAGTGTTTTTTGCAGGAATGACTGACGAGCCCAATCGCCCCGTCGCTGAGATCCTCGAGGCTGTTCATCATGTCGTTTGATGGGCTGGAGGTTTCTGACCAGCAACTATGGCGGCGCATCAGGGAGGCCTTGCGTTGTGTTTGTGCCTCCACCGGCCGCTTACGCATCACCAGTGCGGTTTGCCTTGATCGGTTCGCCATCTTTGCAGAACAGTCTCAGAACAGTCTCTGTGACATCTTCGGTGGATTACGGAGGCGGACCTTGTCGAATGGCTTGTCTTTTCCCTGTCTGAGGAGACTCCGCCCGTCGATACATTCCGGGACGTGGGTCTCTTGCTGGATGCCATCCAGTTCCCGAGAGCACGGCGGTCTGCAGACCGTCCGCTTTTATGTGTTGGGCCCGCGGCTTGGTGCAAGCGGTTGGAAGCGGGACACCCCGCCGTGATCTACGATCTTCCCGAGTGCCGAGTGTGTCTCCATCTTGAACACCGGCGGCACACTTCCCTTCCTGGAAGGCTTCGCCTGCCGAGCTCGCTTTGGATACCCTTGGCAGTACTGTTTTCGCTTTGCTTTGCGGCTTTGCGGCTCTGGAGTTCTGGCTCACCCGCCTGTCTCCTCTTTTGAGCCCTCGTGCTCTTCCTTTTCTTGCTCGCTACCAGAGGTCCGTGGACTTGAGCATGCCCAACAGACTGTTTCCTGAGGAACCCTTGCGAGCTTTGGAGCTCTTTCGATTCTATTTCGTTGTAATTGGCTGTGGTTCGTTGCATTTGGGCTGCGACCTTACGGACTCTCTGCCCGAAAGATGTGAAGACGTGAGTGTATGTATGTATGTATCAGAGACCGGAGATGTGGCTCTTTTTAAGCTATAGTGTTGCTGCGAGGGGTGCTGTAAACACAGCACGCATCCATAAAATGCCGATTTCAGACTGCCCTAGATTATCGCATCGCGAAGACCTGCTTGCGGCTGTTGAAGAAGAAGTATGTCTGTCTGTCTGTCTGTATGTATGTGTGTATGTATGTATGTAAAAAATGTATGTATGTATGTATTAACGTATTTCTGTAATGTAACGTAATGTCATGTAATGTAACGTAACGTATGTATGTATGTATGTATTTATGTATGTATGTATGTATGTAGGTATGTATGTATGTAAGTGTGTAAACGAATGTCGAATGAGGATGCCCTGATGACCCTGAATGGCCATCCAATAGCAGGCTGCTGTACCTGCATTTTGACAAGCTGGTGTCACGACGGGACACGTCCCAACGCCCTCAATCACTGCCCAACTAAAGCCTGCTTGTCTCGAAGGAAAAGATTTTGGCCATAAATATAAACCGGTGTGTCAGACACATGGGCAAGACAGGCAGGCGGAGAGATGAGCCGACAAACCGTCAGAACCGGCAGACAGCGAGAGAGGCAGGGACAGAGACAGCAGCAACACTCACAGCGACACCGACACAGACAGACAGAGACAGGGGAGGCGTTGACGCACACAGGGAAGCTCGCTCCTTCTTCCTCTACCCTTCCGAAAGACAGACAGAGACAGAGGTCGCTGACGGCGACGGCATCCGCTTGGGAGAGATGTCTGCTTGTAGGGGGCCTAGGGCCTAGAGCCCTGAAAGGGAGTCAGAGTTCATCTTCTGAGGCCTTGCGCCAGTGGGGCCGAAGCGAAGCAGGCGCCTGAGCTTTGGTTTCAGATGCCAGAAGATCACCCTTTGCAGCGAACTGTGAGGCTGAGGAGAATCTCTGCACTGCAAGCGCCGTGTCGCCTCCAGGGGGGTTGCATCAGTGGATGCTGGATGGAATTCGTTTAGTAGTTTAGCGTGTTTTGTATTTTTCGCTGCGCCAATCCGGATTTGACGGGGAATGAGTCCGGGGCATAACTGTTGCATTTGGACGGGGTAGTTGCAGCCACTTTCTGCCTCGTCTGCGGTTTCACGGCCTGGGGATGTGATATACAAACTCTAGAAGCTGTAGACTAGGGACTACGGAGTTGTGTGACTTCAGCGTGGAGTTACGAATGTTGGTGCCAGAATTAACTCACTCAGTGGTAATTAAGGGGCTTGTTTCTTTCTTGATTGAAATCCTCGACCTGCCCAGGACTACAGTAGCAGAGAGCTGCAGCAACGGATATGCAAGGCCACGAGATCTAGAAATGGTTGTACCTCGTATATGATTGGACTTTGGAACTGGGATACCCGGCCGTCGGACTTGTTTGGTAACTCTCACAGCTCAGCTTGGGTGGCTGCGAAAGGTGCAGTGATGCTGAGCTTTGGTGCTGGTGGTTTTCATCACCATTACCAGGGCTTGGCGTCGCTCCTCCTTGCCTGTTCATCCCAGGCAAGCGGTGTGGGTGCAGCCAGACTCGTTCGACAGCCGGCATTCCTTTCGTCACAACTCCACCCTGCTTGACTGAATCCTGAGCCATTGCAAGCTCTGCTGGTCCTTGACCAAGCCCTCGCCACCGTCCCTCCGCCCCATTGATTCTACATCAATGGAGGTATGAACCCCCAAGCACCTGCTTGAGCCTCGAGTGTGCAGCGTGTGGGACGTTGCATAGCGATTCCTCCTTGCGAGTATTGCCAGCTCTTCGTGGGAAGCCCGACTCGCCAGCATCGCGCCACGCCACCCGCCGCCCCCCCCCGTCCTCAGCCCTCAGCCCCATTGTCCACGAAGCCTGACAATGCTCGAGCCCACCTCTTTCGGAAGGCAAGTGCGCGCACTGCCATGTGCCCAGCAGATGTGCATGTGTGCACTTGCCTTCTGAAAGTGGTGGGCTCGAGCATTGTCAGGCTTCCTGGCCAACGGGGCTGAGGGCTGAGGACGGGGGGGGGCGGCGGGTGGCGTGGCGCGATGCTGGGCTGGCGAGTCGGGCTTCCCACGAAGAGCTGGCAATACCCGCAAGGAGGAATCGCTATGCAACGTCCCAGCACACTCGAGGCGCAAGCAGATGCGCAGGGTGTGTGGGCATGGACTGGTGGGGCTGCAGCGGCTGTGATGGATTTGGGAAGGCGGGGTGTGGGCGGAGGGACGGTGGCGACAACAACTTTGCACTTATCGATATACCGAGGTTAGAGTAGCTTGCACGATAGAAACTCTTGTGGCCTTGCAACCTCAATGGCATTGTCGGTGAATTTGTCCGCTTAACGGCGCTTATAACCCTCGTTAGGCGACCCAGCTCCTAGGCTGTTAAGCGGGACAGGCACCCAGTGATGCGGATCGAGACTTGAGCTACGACTGATGTAGTGGAAATGGCAGTGCCCTTTCTCTGATGGGTATGGTCGTGCCTCTTTCCTGTTGCTGCTGCACGACACAATGCTGGTCGAAGTACCCACTCGTGAAGCCAGAGACAGCATTGCATGATTGCATGTGCATGGACTTTTGTCCACGGATCCGGCACTCCGCAGTGACAGCACGGCACAAACAGATGTGGACACATTGTAGCGCTTGCCTGATAGTGACGCTTGGAAATCCTCCCGCTTTCTCGAACAGTCCGTCCAGCATTCAGAACCGGCCAACTTTTAGAATGTAGCGTTAGACTGCAGCGGTGTCCTTCCCCAGGATGGGGTGAATCACCAGACCCCTTTGTGTTAGCGCTTTGCAGTATCTATCGTTTTCAACCACGCTCATCCGTGTCAGCGTTCCTGCAAGAGCATAACGGATGAGATCAGATGAGCAGCTAAGTAGGCCATGTCGTCGCCATGCAATGCGGCAGATGAAGCGACCAATGGCAACGCCACCAGTGCAAGCAATGCAAGCAAAACTTGTGACAAGGATGAGAAGGACGAGAAGGTGACATGGAGAAATGTGAGCGATGTTTGCTAGCAGCTCTTGCGACCAGCCCTGGTATATTCAGGCGAGCGAGTCGGAGACCTTCTCACGCTTCCGCGAGGTAGCAGCCGAGATCTCTACAAAGGCGTCTGGGACGGAAAAACGAGAGAATCTGTGGGAGCATTGCGACCCGCCGTCGAAGTTTACTCACCTAGCTGAATCGTGCATCCGCATTTTGCAGCAGCAAACCGAGACACGTCAAGCGGTCAAGCGAGTGTTGCAGATGTGGCGATGCGAGGCATGGAAGCTTTCCGCCGAAGCACATGCCAAGGCTGTGGGTGAAGACTTTTCTTAAGACGGTTTCGGCGAGAAGAACAAGCCAGGCCCACGAGCTTTCGGATGAAATCTCTACGAAGGCCCTTAAAGGGCTGGAGGGGCTCGGTCTGAAGCCTGCAAGAGCTTTTTTTCTCACGCAGGCGACTCCCCTACTTGCAAAGGCACAAGCGAAGGCAAGAGCATTGTGAGTATTTCTCAAAGCACTGCTCGAAGCTGCTTTGGGAGCAGTGCTCGTGACAGGCCCACGAGATCTCGGACGAAATCTCTACGAAGGTGGTGCGTTTGTTTGCGGAATGTGCAATGGCGAGAGTGCAGTGCAACAGTGCAACTTCCTATTTTGCCAATGGTTTGCTGGCGGGAGGCCACGCACTTCACTGCGAAGGCGCAGGCGAAGGCAAAGGGTCGGACGTCGGACGTGTGATGCAAAGCACCAAATGCCTAGAGCACGTCAGCATACGTCAGCTCGTCGCCTGCAGTTGCGCGAGGCGCATGAGATTTCAGACTCACTCTTTGCCCACATGCTCAACGCCGAGGAGCAGCCGAAGGGGGCAGATGCTGGCAGCTGGCAGGTGCTGAGTCAACTCGCGGCTCGCTTTCTCTCTGCAAGGCTGCAGCATCTGCAGCCATGGCCCGGCGCCGGGCGCTGGTGGGCCTCGTGGACGTCCTGGTGGCTTCCTGGACAAAGTCTAGGGGACGGTTCTGTTTTTGCAAAGGGGAAGGGGTGGCTCCGAGCACTCGCTGGTTCTCGAGCCAATGAAGACAGACGCCCGCAGTCACAAGGCTCCGTGAATACCGCATGTCATACTAAGCCATCGTCTGTTTAAATGCAGCACTGTGATGCCGGCCGCGATTACGTTGAGGGTTTGGAAAGTGTGTGACTGCGCTTGATACGACATAGTTGGGGAACAGCTATCGCATTGGAGCCCTCTGGCCCTCT